TGCAACAAATCCTTGAGCACGTGAGCTCCTTCTGCAGCCTTGGGATGCATTTGCTGCCAGGTATGCGCCCTACATGCAAGCACAGAAATGTGACACCCCTGCCCTCACATGTATGAGTACCTCAAATCCCGGCCCAGTGAGCGGGATGCCGCAGCATGCGGCACGCACATCCGCGAAACGCAGGACCTTCCGGGGTGTGTTTGCTAGACATCCCCGCAGCCTTCTGTAACGACATAGAGGCTGGCGAAGCCTGGCCAACAGTCATGGAGTTAGGTGTTGTCAGTTGGATTCCCAAAGGTGCGGCAGAACAGGCTGGATCACTAATCTTAGCCCTTGGAAGGCCCTGTATTCCGGGGTACGGTTCCGACACATGCATGGTTGGCGAGAAAAGTAGGCGCCGCCGGAGATTCATGGTGCCCGTAAGCATCACGAACCTCACGATGTAAGCTATGAATTAGCTCTTCTCATTGAAAACCACCAGCGTAGGCAAGAGGCTTTTAGTGTCATTTCAACGGATAGGAAGGAATGGGGCATAGGCGACGGCATTAGCTTTGGGCGTGGCGTTTCATGCAGGCTTTGCGGCGCCGGTTCAACATCGGCCCTGCCCTGTCGGCCACTGCTGGCCGCCAGAACAGTTTGTTCAATATCAGATAGCTGGAGTGTGCAGGTAGCTCTTGGTTTAATGGCCGTTTGGACACGTGCTATGAGTGAAGCGCAAGTGCGCACCAGTGGCTTCCTGGATGACTCTAAATTCCGAGCCAACAACACAGCACCGCAAGCAGAAGAGTACCCGCCGGACCCACCTGACAATCTGTGGCTCCGGCGGCTGCTTTATAAGGGCCTGCAAGTTTGCAGGGAGTTTGACAACCTCTCTGGGTGTGAAACTAACCTTCGCAAGACCAAGACACTTGCCATCCGTCCGGCCTTGAGGGAGGCTCTGTCCAATGCCTTGGCGGGTCCGTACCCCCATTTGCAAGTGGTCGAAGAGTTCATTCTTGCGGGTGGCCAGATTGCGGCTAAGCGTGTTGCCAAAAAAATGCGCCCAAAATCAAGAAAGGCGTTCCTCGAGTGCTTTGGGAGTGAGCTCATAGACCCTAGCCGCAGTGCTGCAAGGGCCACTTGTCCTTCTCCGGCGCCTTCTGCGGCGCAGACCTGATTAGAGATCTGTGCCAAGACACTTGGCAGCTTAGGCAGGCTGGAGCCAAGGGATGGGTAACTGGCGCGGCAGTCAGCACATTGCCACAAGCATGCAGCGGGACTGGTCGCAGGATGCCTTCACGTTCCACCGGCCTTTTGGGCCGCCTTTTCCGTTGCTGGAGCAACAGGATGATTGGTGGCGCCACGAGTTGCGTGATGCAGTGCGCCAGACACGATGGTGCGCTGCTGCTGAGACCAAAGGCAAAAAGCACTCTGTGTGGCGTGCGTCCCTAAAACGGGGTGAACATCTTTGCCACAACCGCCTTGCTCAAAGCCGGCGCCTCTCGCCACAGACTTCCCTCCGGTGCTAGCGAGGAGTTGTAAGTCTCCGCACAGCCTTGCTCCGGCAGTACCTGGATAAGTACCCTGTCCCAGCGGTGCAATGTGAGGCGTGACCAAGCCACGTGGAGAGACGGTTTCCTTTTGGTGGCGTCTGACGGTGCCTGCCCCGGCCAACAGGGCGACTTCCGCCGCGGTGTCCACCCATGTAACTCTGCGTGGGTCTCAGCCACCTACTCACAAACAGCCGCTGCTGCGCTGGTTACGAACATACTGACAATGCTGGCGTCGTACAAGGTTTCAGCAACCTGAGCATGGCATGTCCAAAAACCTAGACCTGCGGGAGGCCATCCGTTTGCTTTGGGAATCTAAGTCGTCCATGTACAACTTGTAGGTTTGCAAAGTAAAGGGTCACCGCACCTTTGACGAATGTGAAGGCAACGCTGAGTTGTATGTTGAAAAGCACCTCAATGACGGGGCCAACAAGTGCCGGCAGCCGAGCAACGGCGCATTCAGCTCTTGCAACCACTCTGCTTGGCGTACACGTTGCCAGAGAAACCGAGATCCGCCGACAAGGCGTCCCAGCTCTTGCCGTTGCTTCCTCACGTCATACGCAGCCAGGGGCCCCCGACCCCTCGCATGGTCTCACTAGAAGTGCCGCACTTGTCTCAGCTCCGCTGCAAGGGCCCGTGCCACGTCAGCCGGACGTCGTACGATCAGAACCTTTGCCAACAACATGGCCAGATCGCTTGCACCCCTGAGGCTGCCACCTGCTGGTAGCTTCCCAGCCCGGCCGCAGCTTCTACGCCAAGATGCTGTCGACCGTGCCCTGCTCCAGGCTGCCTTGAACCACATGCAGAACCCGCCTTGAAATAGACGTGTGGGGCCGCCAATGTGGACACCAGACGCGGCGTCCCCTGCGCCCGGCGGCGAATCACGGGACAGACCTCCGTGCCACAGCATTCTGGGCCCTGCGCGCAAGACGGGGCAAGGAACGCATCCCGCGTGCCGCGACAGTGCGTAGCACACATAAGGCAGGAAGTTCTGTGGGACGAGACGCAGCCTTACTTTGTTCCAGACTCAGTAACAAACAGGTCCGTCGGGAGCGAGCCCGACTGCTGCATAATGCCACTGCAGCTCCACGCTTTAGACATCTCATTGGGCAGGGTAATGATAACCTTGCTTGCGAGAGCTGTGGTCTCCGGGCCCCGTTCAAAGCTTGAAGCCGTAGATTGCAAGAAAACAGATGTGGAGGGAATGGTACCGTGCTCATGACCACCCTGCGCAGGGCGCTGCGAAAGCTGCCACTCTCAATTTCCGGATTCGTCGTGTTGCGCAACATAACCAGCTTGCAGACACGAACCAAACACACTGCATTGCACAGCCTACCGCGGATGACCTGCGCATTCGATGTGCCAGACCTGGCTGTGGCGAACACTTAGCTTGGTGTCAGGCAAGAGCTTTCCTTTCCATGCGGTGCGCCATGGCGCCCCGTGGGCACGGGAATGCTCGCTAGCTTGACACCCTCCTCTATGCGAGGTGGCGGCTCCTCGTGAACAGGATCAATGGGACGCATTGGGAAAAGGGTGTTTAACATTCGCCACACACTTCTAAGCTTCAAGCCTCTAGGCCTCTCAGCCTCCACGCCCCTAAGCCTCTAAGCCTCTAAGCCTTCCAGCCGCCACGCCCCTAAGCCTCCAAGTCTCTAAGCCTGTAAGCTTCTAAGCCTTTCAGCCTTTGAGCCTGCACGCTCCTAAGCCTCTAAGACTCTAAGCCTCTAAGCCTCTAAGCCATCCAGCCTCCACGCTGCTTGGAGGCTTAGGCGCTTAGAGGCTTTGGCGCTTAGAGGCTCAGGCGCTTACAGGCTCAGGCGCTTGGCGGCTTCGGCGCCAGAGGCTTAGAGGCTTGCGCGGCTGTTGTTTAGCAGCAAGAGGCTTGGGCGCTTAGAGGCTTAGGCGCTTAGAGGCTTGCGCGGCTGTTGCCTAGCAGCAAGAGGCTTGGGCGCTTAGAGGCTTGGGCGCTTAGAGGCTTAGAGGCTGGTGTTGAAATAGGCAATACAATGGGACAAAAACACAGAAACACCTGCGAAACCCTCAAAACAAAAAAGCTCAAAAAATTGACTGCGGCAATTCACTTTACGGGGGTTATCCCCGGGGGATCGGGAGTTCTAGCCACCCGGGGGCTATGTAAAAACCAAATGCATCACCAGCGCACCAACATCATTATCACCCCCCATCAACCCCCCCCCCCCCCCTGCCAGAACAGAGGAGAACATAAGAGACGGTTTCAAGGCCTGCACACGCGTACGCGGATCAATCTCCGCGCAACCCCGGCCATGGTGAATCCTCGGGTCAATCCCCTCGGATCGCGTGCTCAGGGCATGAACTGTCTCTTCTGTTCCCCCCGTCAACCTCACGGCTGTGCCAGTTTCCGCTTGAAGCAGCTCCAGGGGTCATATCCCAATAGGCCGGCAGGCCGGCAGACAGACGCGCAAGCAAGAAAGCACGCGGACAAGCCATCGCCCGGGCAGGAAGCAAGCGAGCAAACAAGAAAACAGGCAGGGCAGGCAGGCAGGGCAGCACGCAGGCAGGCAACAGGCGAGCAGACGAGCAGAACAAGAAACAAACCAACAGGAAAGTCCCCCCAACAAAAAAAACACTGCCAACAGCAGCCCGAGTATCCACAGACCGCGGGCCTACCTAGTACTACCAAAGGCAGCCCGAGTATCCGCAGACCCCGGGGTCTGCCTCACAAACCAACATACAGGAAGGTCCCCCCCCAAAAAAACCGTAGCAGTACCAAAGGCAGCCCCAGCATCCGCAGACCCCGGAATATACCTCACAAACCAGCATGCAGGGAAGTCCCCCCAAAAAAGAAAAGAAACACCCCCGAAAGCAGCCCGAGTCTCTGCAGACCCCGGGGCAGCCCGAGCATCCGCAGACCCCAGGGTCTACCTCAGAGACCAGCATACAGGCAAGTCCCCAAACAAAAAAAACCGCTAGCAAAAGGCAGCCCGAATATCCGCAGAGCCCGCAGTCTGCCTCAGAGGCCGGCATACCGGAAAGTCCAAACAAATGCAAAGGAACGCTGCCCAAAACGGAAATCCACAGACCCCGAAAAGACAGTGAACCCGCGGGGGCGGCGGCACCGGGCGGCAGCCCGGCCCCTATCTGGATTTCGGGCACCAGAAAACACAAACATATGAACCGTCCTGTTGGTGGCGCCCATTTCCTTCCAACGTTTCCGCTTTAAACTCCCAAGCCAAGCCCCAAAGGGAATTTGTTTGGGGCAGCTGTAGAAACTGCCCCTTCAAACACAATTTTCCTCAGGCAAATGGAACACTCTCAAGCCCTGTTCTCTCAAAATCCAGAACTAAAGACATCAGCGGGACTGGGGCCATTAAAACGACTATCCTCAAAAGTCTTCGAACTGGCTTCAAGGGACTTATGCCCAGTTATTTCGAACCTCTCGGAACGCAAAACAACATGACAGCGGCCCAAACAACACCCTTCACGGCAAGCTGCGTCAGCGCCGGCTGGCTGCAGAGGTAAAAAACCATCTTATCGGCGGTAGAGCCCAGCATCACAGCCTTAGATGGCCACCCAATGCGTCCTTTGGCGGACGCCAATTCCCATTTGCGCGGCTCCGCAAGGAGAGTAGGACTGCTTTTCTTGGAAACCAAGTAAACAAAATGGAAAACTCGCTCTGCAACCTTTCGAACGGCTTCAGCCTTGGACCTTTGTCGATCGACGGCCAGCTGGTGTGGCCCTGTTGAATGTCCTTCCCCCAAGTGGTCGGCTAAAGTGAAGCCATTCGAGCTTCTGAGTTTTGACAACCCAAACAAACGCAAAAACATGATTTGAGTATGCCGAAATATCGGGACTCCCAAAACTGCTGGGTCCCTTTGGTTTCTGCGCAGAAAGACTACGCCTCAAGAAACACGTGTGAACCACCGGGCTCTGGTTTAGCAGCCAAAGTAACCCAAGAGAGAACCAACCGCTGTAGGGCATCATGATTTTAGACACATTCTACTCCTGCGTGAAAACCAAAGAGCTGCCATCAAAATAAGTGGGCTCCAACGATCTTCTGGTTTTCCCTCCCTGCTCACTTTGCCTCAAAACCAAGACCTTTCGCCCCAAGGTCACGTGGCTGCCGCCGCGGCCAGGACAGGGAGGATCCAAAACCCGGCAGTGGAACCCGTCAATTGGCGCACCACGCGGCGCTGCCAGCGAACGTCCCGCACCAAATTGAAGGAACCGGTGCCTTCCGTTCCTCGCCGTGACCGCGATTCCCTCGTAATTACATCAATAGGGTGTCCAGCCACGAATCCCTTCTTGGATGCTTCGGTAAACAAAAGCAACTATGGGCTATTTTGCACCCAGTTCATAGGATTTTTCATTTCGGCTGCCTCAAGGTTTGTGCAAAATTGGTTTCAACAACTTCGGGCCCTTCTTGGGATGGGGCGCGTTCCGGTTGTTCCGCGAGAATTAAAACAAAGCCATGGCTTAAAGCATTGATGAAACCTCGAATTTGGGTATCCTTCAAAAGGGTCCAACACAAGTTTGCGCAGCCGTACCTTCTGCTGGCCCAGCCAAGGCCTGCATAATGTCATTGTTTCGCCGGCCTGACGCGCAGCGACGCAGTCACTCGGCACCAGACTCCCCTTCCCCCTAGTTCTGACCTATGGCTTGTGCTTGGACCAATCAGCGCGAGAGCGATTGTCAACTCCGCAAAAAGGCGGATTGAAAGGGGGGTTCTAAGCAGAATGAACCATAACAATAGCTTAACTATAGGGCATCCGAAATCTTGAGAAACACTGGAAAAGCCACTGGGCATGCGACTGCTGAACACCCAAGCCACAAGGGGGGGCGCTGTCATTTTGGCTTCGGACAGTTGCTGCATGGCGCTTTGTGCGGGCCCTCGTGGCAAAGCTTCTTCTGGGCATTGCCCAGCCCAACTTTGAACGTTGAACCGCTTGTCATGTCCTTGCACCCTGTGCTGTTTGCTTGCTTCCTGAAAATGGATTCTGAGTCAAACATTGGAACCCGTCCGGAACCGAAAGTGCCCGAAACTGCTCCGAACAACTCTGAAAGGGGCCTATTTGGGCATCTAAAACTCTTTCAGCCAAAGGAAGCAATCGAAAATGAAGGGAGCCCTTTTGATCAGCTTCTACCACCACGGGCTAAGATCTCGAAACCACCAATCCAAACACCAAGTAAAGGGCCTGAACTGGGAAGAACCTCCCGAAAAGCGGAACCTTTGAGGAAACCGTCATTGGCGCCCCAGCCTGCAAACACCACTGCGCTAAAAGGCACCGCCTTTACTGTGCCCTGCGCCAGCATCTCCTGGCCACATGTGGAGGTTGGCCCTTCCCTACTCAAACCTTGGCCCTTCTCCACACCAAAAAAAAGTCAGCATCTGTTTCAGAGAAGAAACAGCGCATTTGCCTCATATGTGTTGTGTAGTCAGCCTTGACGTGTAAAACACATCTGAGGAGACAACAAACCGCAATGTTTCCCTTTAGGTTTCCGGATGCCCACCACATCCGACCATCAAGACGCACCACGCATTCTGCAAACATCCGAAAGCTGAATTGCCTCCGGCCCCGTAAAAGCCGTTGCAAGCAGTTTCTTTTGTGGCGCCCGTTCTCCAAAAGGAAAAGACAGTCACTAGAGCCCGTTGAGCTCTTGTCAAGCTGGCACAAGAAGCCGCACAAAAGCAAAAAAACAAACACCCAGCCGCCTCTCCTCCAAGAGGGTGGTCTTGACGGAGTCCTTGTCATGAAATAAGACCCTCAGGCCCAGCAGCTTGTGGCTTCCTTCTGCTTCCGCGATGGCATTCTCCTCAGGCGCACTCGGTTCTACCCCCGCGGGAGGAACAAGTTCTAAAACCACTGGCGCTGGGGATAGGTCACTTGAGGAGCGGGTGAACGAAAGCTAGCAGTTGTTGCATGAGATGGGTCGGTGACAGAGTGGATTCATGGGTAGCTTGTGTACAACGAGAGGCCCGGCAAGATTCGTAGGATGCGACACGCAAACGCACATGGTGGCGTGGCAAACCTTGAAAAATGAAAACAACGAGAGGCGTCAGAAGCTGTCTAAAAGCACCTCTGGGTTCTGCATGCTGCGTGTGCAAAGATTCTTGCGAGGTGGTTTACTGAGAAGACTGAGGTCTCAAATGAACAAGCTGAATCGGTGGAACATGTAAAAGTTCGTAGCACCAAGTCCAAAACGGGCAAACCGAGACTGCTGAACACTGAGCCACTGCCCGGGGGGGGGGGGGGGGGGGGGTGGACCAGGGAGGAATCGAGCCTGAGACCGGGGGGGGGGGAGGGGGGGGGGGGGGGGAGGGGGGGGGGTTAAATAATTGAGGATCTTTTCGGCTCAAATAATTGAAAAAATCAATCTTTCGGCATTTGAGCCCCTTACCTTGCTTACGCAAGGAGAAACTTCAGCTAGCTAAAGCTAGCTTTCGTGATAAATCCAAATCGATGTGCTGGGCGTTGCGTTTGCAATTGGCTTTTGTTCCTTACCACTCTGCAGTTCTGAGTGCGCTCGGGCGAGCGTAGTCAACCCACATCCGCACACCAAGGCGGCGCAGAAACTTGGCCGAAAGCGGCCGGCCCAGTGCACAGCTTTCGGCCAGGGGCTTCTTGACAAGACGCATCAGTAAACACCGCCTGTAAATGAATGAGGTTATTGAAAGCAGCTAAGAAACATGCGCATTGCACGTTTCAAGGAATCATGCAAACCGGACACCGGCCAACCTCCCAACCTCCCAACCTGCCAGGCCAATGGCATTCCTAGGAAGAAACAAAGCAAACTTACCAATTTAGTAGCGTACCAACTTGCCCATTTACCAACTTGCCGACCAGCCAGGCCAGCAAAAAAAAGAAAAGACACTCGCCAACAAACCCACCAAGTTGTGCCAATTTAGTCCTTTACGCTTGCCAACTCAACAAAAGTACCAAGCAAGCAAGCAAGAAAGCAAAGCAAGCAAGCAGGAAATCCAAACCAGCAAGCCATCCACATCCCGTCCTGGCCCCAGGCCTTCTGCACCTCGCTGGCAATGCTCAGCGCCGGGCCCGCGAAAAGGCCCACCTCAGCAATCGCCGGCGGGGCAATCGGACGCCAGCGGGCCATGGACTCGGACAGGGAAGACAATGCTTCGGCGTCGGTTCTTGTCGGGTACTAAGTTGGCTACCCTCTTGGTGTCAATTGCGGCGGCAGCCCTTAAAGACTCACAATTGCTTTTTCTTTTAACCATGGGCTCGCGATGGCTTTCGGCACCCTCAGGGTTCCGCGCCCAACGGTTGCAAAGGTGTCCGCTAGTGTGTGCCACTTAGCTTTCGGCTTGGGGACGCCTGGTGCAGAGCCGCTGTTAAAAGATTGCAGTGCCGCCCGGCAGAAGCATTTGAAGGTTTCAGGCTCAAACGGCAAAGATGCCACGTGCAACTTGGCGCAGCTTAGCCTCCTGACTTCCGGATCCTGGTGGGTCGATCAAAAATAGCCAACAAAAAAAAACGAAGAGCTACCACTGTTTAAAGCATCCTCCTTTTGACCCCCTTTAAAGCTGACCACGGACGTCTCGCCGTCCCCAAGCCAAATCTCCCACTCCCAACCCCAACGCCCCATCAAACCCCCACAAAGCCCCGACGGCGAGGCACCAGCAGCACCAGCAGCGCATACAGCCCTAAAGAGGCCAGAGCCCAACCCACGCAGCAGACCAGGACCAAGGTGCCGAGCCCGGTGAAGTAGTCGTAGCCTAAAAAGCGTGTAAATCACACTAGAACCACGGGTGGCCCGAAAGCATAATGGACAGTGAGTGTTGGTTTCATGTGTGTCTGTGTCATATGTGCGTGCGTCCCGCGTGCTGCGCGTGAGTGTGATGACAAAAAGCCGACATGTGCGTGGACTCAAATGAAGCCCCAGAGGCAGATACTCTAAGCAAACACTACGTCGTCAACCTGCAAACCTCAGAAACCTCAATGTCAAATCCACAATGCCAGAACTTCCACCAAGCCACAACGCTACGCTAAGCTTCGAGATAAAGCAGATGTAAACGGCTGCTCAACAGTCTCTGCACAGACTGCCCGTAACTTTTCACGCCACAGCGTTTAAGCGGTGCCTCCTGCGACTGAAAAGTTTCGGTGTTGCGAGCTCTGTGCAAGTGTTGCTCCGCGCAAGTGGGCCCAAGAGTTCAGTGCAAGTTGCTCTGAGTGTGCAAGTGCTCTATGCAAGATGTGTTGCGCAAGCGCTCTGCGCAAGTTCATGGAAACATGTAACCCGCTGCTTTGTAACAACCCGCTTTGAGCATATTGGGAAATGGGGCAGGAACTAACAACCTCCAACAACAAGTTGTCAGAAGCCACTTCTGGCTAAGAAAAGCTACGTGAAGGAAAGCTAAGAAAAGCGAGAGAAAGCTTTATTGGAAACTAGAGGCACAAAGGATGCCTGACAGCCTTTACGTGGCACATGTTGCTCACAAAGTCCCAACATCTGCCCTGCACACACGTAGCCCTACTTAGTTGCAAAGGTTTGCCCAAGATGCTCAAACTCAATCTGCCCAAACTCATGTGGCAAGCAAGCGTGCCAAAGCACAAGCTTCAGTTTGGCAAAGCTATCTTCAACACACTGCTCGCTTCCAAGGGCAGGTGCGCAGACAACGACACAAACCTTCAAGCAAGCGTTCCGACTAGAAAAAGTAGCCTTTTTGCGTTCAAATCAGAAAAGCCGTAAAGATATGCTGTCGCCAATCCCCACAGAGAGTCGCGCGCGCGCCGCGGAAATCGTAAAAGGTCCTCAGTTTTTGCACATCGACCACGCCAATCCCCGCAGATGGTGTCATTTTCGCAGAGTGGGCTCGGTCCCACCGCGCCGCCTGAAGAGACTAACCATTTACTTTCGTGCCCACATGCTCGTGCGAGCTTTCTCGTGCAAATTGTCTCGTGCAAGTTGGCTCGTGCAAGTTTGGCTCGTGCAAGTTTGGTGGTGCGATGAATTATCTTGCAAGATGGCTCGTGCAAGTTGGCTCGTGCAAGTTTGGCCGTAAGAATCCTTCGCAGTGCTTTTGGGAAAGCAAGAGTTTGGACCGCCAAAAGGTTGGTGTTCTTTTGGCTTCCCTTTCAAACCGACCCAAAATGGGCACCCTCTACAACTCTACAAAGAAGCGCCCAAGATCTTGCAGGGAAGAGGGAACACAGCTGAGGGAAGGTGAAGGGATCCCAGGTTGAAAGTAACATTCTTTCCATGGGGTGGAGTCATGACACTCCTATTTGTATCCAAAAGGTGTACGAGTCTAAGGGCGGATTCCCTTTATTCTGCTCGAATCACCCTGGCCCCCCATAGAAAACTCACCGTGATAGCCCCATTTTTTTTACTGTGGCTTCGGGGCTGCTTTTGGATGTGGTTGCGTGCGTTCTGGACTGGCTCTAAAAGCAATCCTGGATCTCAACCCCAAAACCGCTGCTGGACCAGCTGCGCACCATCACACATCAGCTGCAAGACTAGCCCAAACCCACACCCAAGTCAAACCTAAGCTCACCCAATGGCAGCCTGGATATCAGCTGAGCCTAGCTGCACCCCAAGCAACCCAAGACCCGCCCTCATGAAGATTGAAGCCTAAAACCTACCGGAATTAGACCAACCAACAAACCGGGGATAAGCCTCAACCGAGGCCAAAAACAAAACAAAACAGTCCCACTGTAAATTCGCAACCAAAAGGTCTGCGTCAACGATCGCAAAAGGACAGCCAGGAAACCTGAGCTATGCTACCCCTAGCCACGGCGAATTCACCTATCACTTATATGCCTGTAGCTTGTGCCAACTGAACTTCAGTAGCAAGGCAACCGCAGGCCCCCTCGGTCTTTGGCCTTAGCTCCGAGAATCTTTGTGGATGGGCCCTCCTGTGTCAAGCCATGTAGAACTAGAACATTGAAAAGCGCTCTGCATGACCACTTTATGAGCGAGATTGATTGAAGGTCCAAACCGCTCCCACTATCCACGAAGTGCCTCGATGGGGAGATTGACCAAATGGCCATTTCTCTCTTGTCATTCCAGGGTCTTGACCCACTACTGACCCAGAACGCGACGACACCCTGACACCCAGGGCCTCTTGGGAATGCTTGGCGAGCTGCCCTCTCATAGCTTGGTGGTTTGAAGGCTGAATTGTTGGTCTCACATTTACCCTCTACAAGAACCAGGAAACATCCCCAAGCCAATCCGAACCAATCCAGGGTTATCTGAATATTTCGAACAAGAGCTGGGCGTTTCGAAACCTGCCTTGGGCCCTTTGTATTTTCGTTCCGAGGAGAAACCAAAGGGATCTCCTACCGTCAAAATCGCCCAAGCAACAGCTTGAAAGGAACCGACCCCAAATGTTGCTGACTTGATTCGTCCCCCAGGAACAGTCAAAATGGCCTTCGTCACGCACATCACCCCAAAGGAAACCCACCTTGGCCCAAAAAGATATGAGTGAACAACCTCGCTTGACCCTCAGGGCTCAAGTTTCAGCGTCCTTCTCAGTGGTGGTTTGCAGCCCGGTGATTTCTGTGGCAAGTTGGTTGGTTGAGCTTAAAGGGGGAACCCTTACCCCCAAAAAAGGCAAAAGGGCACCACTAGGCAACAGAGAAGGGGTTCGAATCCCACCACAAATCCAAATCCACCACCTAAGGGGTCCCTGATTATTTGCTTTCGCTTGCTTAAGAAGCTTCCGAGAGGCGCAATGCCTTCGCCGGCTTGGTGAGGCAAACGCCGTGGGAGAGTGCAGCTTGGGACAAAAGCACCTGGCGCCGGAGAAAACTGGGTGCTTACGTAGAGCACCTGGCAAGAAACAACATACTCCTCTATTTGTGTGTTTGGTTTTTCGAGTTGCTTTTTGAGAAGCGCCTAGCCAAAATGAATAATGAATATACACACCATTTGTTTTCCTTTCAGAAGCAGGCAACTATGGGCTTTGTCGCACTCAGCTTGCGCGCGCGGGGAAAATAACAAATGCAGATCTGTCATTCTGTCACTAACTTTCTGAATGGCCCCAAAAAAGCAAGCGTGCTGCTTCTTCCCCACCTAATTGCTCCCAACTACTCAAAATCCAGAAGCTGCCAAGAATGGTGAAGTGAGACTGCTCGCAAGACTCAATGGCTATGACAAGCCCAATTGGTTAAACCTGGACAAACGAGAGCGCCATGCCCTGTGTCAAGCATGTCGGTGTTAGTTGACAGCAAGTTCAACCAGGCTACACTTTGGGAGCAATGTTGCTCTGATGATTTCTGTGCATTTCGTAAAGTCCTCACTGCAATGAGTTTCGTGGCTTCCTTCAAATTGGATGCTCAGAACAGGCTTTGGCTGCTGCATGGATCACGACTTAATGTGGTGTTACATTACCCCAAAAATCCTTGTAGCCCGTACCCCAGAGAAGATGGTTGCAACATAGACTTGATGTGTGTCACCAAACGTGCGCCGGCCCATGTGAATGTGAGGTAACCACAAGGGCCCAGCTCAGTTCGGGGCCCTGAGACCTTCCCGTTCCGCGCCTGGCAGGTGGTCTGCAGGATGCGTATGGTGCCGGCGAAGCCGAAGGTGCAGGGCCAAAAGACCGCAAAGAAGACGGTGCGGCTCGAAGCCTCCATCTTCGGGGGGAATGGAATTTCACCCGAGAAAAACTGGGGGGGGGGTCAAGGCAACAAGGGCAGCCCTGCTGGCACCAAAGACACATGAGACTTGTGTGCGCGTGGCAGTTTTTGCTCCTTCTTTTTTGGTGGGCCGGAGAGGGGGGGGGGATTCTTTCCAACCATCGTTCTTGAACAAACCCGCGGTTTCAGCGGTATGAAGAATGGCGAAGGCAATCCTAGAAATGTTGCGAAAGACACAGCCAATTGACAAACCGGGATGTGTCACAAAGGGAAGTTAAATCAGTATTGGCCCTAAACTTGGCGTAGCCAGTGGGAATGGATGGCCCCTTGCTGTGCTGTCAAGTCCGCGTGACTTTAGGGTCATCTCTGGCGTGTGGAACTCATCCTTCCGCGTATTCTTTTAGCTCGCCAATTGCAAGGGGGCTCTCTGTTCTTGACAAAGAGGTCCCCTCTAGTTGCCACTTCCTGTGAGTCGCAAGGACTGTTGTTTCCATGCCCAACTACTGGCAGTCAGAACATCCTTCCGCAAACGTTACTTTACTTCCAAACCTGAAAGAACAAACACCCGTGTGTTTTCAAGTAAAGGACCTTCACGAGCTCAGGGCGTAATCGAGCCAGTGGCCTCCAACTTGATCTTGTTGAGCACCACCGCTTGCAAGGAGATGGTCAAAGTCGCGAACCTCAAGACCTGCAAAGCCCCGTCCTCGAGAGCTGGTTTATGGGGGTGGTAGTGATTAGTTGGCAGGAGGTGCTAATTGATTGGAGGCTTTGGTGGTTTGTTGCTTGGCAGCTTTTGGCAGTTGCTGTTGGTTGCTGGTGCCTTTTGCGATGTGACTACCGAAAGATTGAGCTTCGGGGACCTGTGTAGAGATTATACTCCTTCATAACTCAGGCTTCACTGAAAAGTGTAGGGCAGTCGCCAAAGTGATGCAGAGGACAGGGTTGGGGGGTGCTTCCAGCAATCGAGGTTTCGGGAGGGCGACCAGCAGAAATGTCCATGAGCCGATTGCCATGATGTTCCAATGAGAACGTTTGCTATGTGCCGCTACATGCTTAAAGCAAAGAATTGAATTGGGATGCTTTTTGAGGAACTCAGGGTGTGAGCTGCTGCTTCTTGAATTCAAATTCTTTAGTCTGATTCCTTTTTAAGGCAACACCATGTGCTCGTTGACACTCCCGTAAGGATGTATAGCTGAAACACAATGCCTCCAGAAGCAATGTTTCTCAAATGGTTTCACCCTCGCCCCCCTCACCTTGTCACCTCCGCGGGGGGGGGGGGGGTGGGGTTGGCTTGCTGATTTGTGTTTAGAGAATTGTCCCACCAACAGCTCACCTTCCCGTCCTTAAAAATGTTAATGGGCTTTGGCATCACCAGGGCGTCCGCAGATTTCACCGACTCCGACTCCACTTTGACATCTTGGGGCTCACAGCTCGGCTCCTGGCTTCCGGGCCGGAAGTACTGAAACCCGAGCCAAGCCGGAAATTGGACACGCGCGTTCCATCGGTTAGCCCTCTTCCATTTGGTTAAGACCACCCCTGGGAAAAATATTTCCAGTAGTGATAGTTTCCCTTTAAAACCAACAGTGGAAAAGCAAAATCTTAAGCAAGTGGAAGCCCTTTAGTGCAACCCAAAAAAACATGGCGCCCGCTTCAGAGGACACACCTGAAGAGGAAGCAAAGGAAACTCTGGACACGGTTCGGGCTTGATCATTTGCCTTCCGCTGGTAGGCTGTTTCTGGGGAACTTTCAGTGCCCGCAGGTTCATACAATCAGCATTGCCATCGCACCCGAGAAGCGTGAGTCTAACAACAGGCAGCTGACTTCTGAAAGCCCGCTGGCAAGCACCTCGCTTGACCTGTTGAATTGACTGGCCAGACAATTGACGGACAATTCACTTGACCTGTCCCAACCCCGGCAAAACACGTCATAGTGATACGGACGCAGAAGGCAAAACTACAGGTTTGGGACTGTAGTCAAGGAATAATGGAAGAAAAGGGAAGGAGCCTACCCACAATTTGCACCCGGGTGCCAGCGTCAGAGGTCAGCTTGCCAAACTTGCCGTGGGGAATCCAATCTCCACCACCAACTCCCTCTCCATACACTTGCGCCTACCACAAGAGAACTATAGATAAATGTGCCAACAAAGGAGTGTTCCTGTTTTTGTGTGGTGTTCTCGTTTCGGCTTTCCTTTGCTGAACAGCCCGTGGGGAAGGGGGGCCAAACTAGGGCCGATTCAATCGTCGAGGCAGGCCTTGGATTTCAGGTCCCAGAGCAAATCCACCGTCACCTGGCCACAAGTGTCTGCTGTGGGGCTGGCTGGGAACTCAAGGAATAAGCTTGAAAAGCTATTGCTTGCAACGTCACCAATACCACCAGCAGCAGCGACAGGAGCAACGCCACCAGCATGAAATCCTGAGCTAGCCGTACCCCCCCAAATGCCCGTGGGCAACAGAGCCTCCTGGCAGCTCTAAGAAGGACCTGTGCAACCCCAATGCAAAAGGGTGCCATCCGACCGACCACCTCACTGATCAGCCACTTGCCCATCAAGAACCCAACCTCGACAAACCCGGCTTTCCGTTCACAGGCGCTGTCAGCCCTGAAGGGCACTTCACCTCCAGCTCCCGCAAACTCTCCAGCTGCTGCTCTGTGACCCCCGGCACATGCCGCAGGAACGCCTCAGCGCTCCACCAATCGCCATTGCCAGGTCCATGCAATCTGGGTTGTTCACAATGGGGGGAATCCCAAACCCTGACCCATGGGACACAGGCAGGGACCTGCCATTGATTGATTGAAAGCCCACACAGGCCAGACCCTGAGGTTTCTTTGGACCATGTGAGCATGGGAGGTGCTCATTTGCACGGAACCATAATAGGTCCATGTAGGTGGCATGGTTCCGTTCAGGGACAGAAGGGGCCAAGAAGCGCCTAAGAACATTCAAACAAGCGAATTGAATCCTCATGGGCGCAGATCTTATCTGTAAGTCCGCCTAAAAACCCGCACCCCGTGCAGCCAAGTCGCAGACATGCCCTCACGCTCGGGTGAAGGCTCCAGCTGGCCTAAAGAAACGCCACTCGGAGTCACGGGCCCGGAGGTTTGAAGGGATTGTTTCAGCCCGACGAAAAACTTCGCATCTCTCGGTCAAATTATTTACAAGTCGATCTGCATTCGGTCGCGGCACTGCGCCGCGACCTAAGAACCCCGTCAATAAGGGCTCCAGCCCGGGGGGGGGGGGGTGTCCAGCTCACTAAATACTGCGAAATTGAGCAGTGGGTGTCCCAAACCTGTACTTCGGCATTGCGCAACGGTCGGTGACCTCACTATGATTTACACAGAAGAGCATGCGCTTGATTCTGGTCAGTGAAGCTGAGCAGAAAAGATAGCCCAGACCCAAACAAGGGGCTCTACACGATGCTTCTCTGCGTGTTCCCTTCACAAATTACAGGTCCCACATGGTCCACAAAGACCTTGCCCGTCTTGGCATTGCCAGAGCTGTGAATATCAAGAGTGCCAAGCCTGGCCGGACTCGATTCTTCAAATGACAAGCGAAGCTGACTGGAATGAAGCTGACGCTAACTAAGAGGGAGCGCCGAAAGAGGATTGCTTCAAAGGTGCGCAGCCCGCGCCGCAATCGCGCCCCCAAGACGGAGACCCGTGGCCCTCACATCAGCCCAAGATAAATGGGTGTGTCTCTTTTGAGGGTTCCCCTTCTTTGGTGGTTTGTAAGGGGTCCCGCAAGGAAAACTGTATTTTTTTGGGGGAGGGGAGGGGGACGCTATAGTCTGCCTTGGTGACTCAATGAGAGCCCCCACCACGGTGAAGGAGCACCAGGCTCTCTCAATTGGGGCAGCTCATGGCAGACATTCGCCAAAGCCACTACAGAAAGACAAAAACACACCCAGCGCCCGTTCATCAACCAAGCTTCTTCTGTCGAGAGAGTGTTCTGAGTCTCATGCTCGGAACCATCGAAAACATCCCGAAACAAGGACACACTCACACCCGCCCTACGCAACAAAGCAACAAAGCAACAAAGCCCGCTTTTAAATGTCAACTTTCCATCTTACAGTGAACATACGCCAGCATTCAGGAGCAAAGACACCAACATCAGCTTCCTTCCATTTGGTGGCTTGGATTGCACCAAGGGGTTTCCTGAACACAGCAGCCAGAACAACCTCCAGTATTTCGTCCGAGCGGCAAATAAAGGTCGTGCCCAACTCTGAGTGGCTACACACTTCCAGGCCTCGTGCGGGACATGGGGATGCAATGACCCCACCGCTTGCACGTCCGCTAGAGTTCCCCCTTTGAAACACTAAAATCAGAAAGGAAGCTCGCTAAAATCAGACACATGTGCCTTCCTACGGGCAAGACCGGCGACACTTTTTGATTCCGAACCCATGAAATAAGCTGAGGGCCCTTCACAATGTGCACTTTGTTTAGCTTGGCTACACGACGTTCCCTTTTCAGCCACAGAAACGGCACCCTCAAGAAAAAAAACCGTTGCATGGCGGAGGTACTTGGTGGCTTGACAAGAATTGGGCTTCCAAGGCTGTGTGACGTACACCGCCAGCTGCCGTAGTCAGCGTGCTGCTTTATTTCACATACCACTTGGTGGGGCCTGCAAGGGCCTACGTGCAAAAGTCACTTTGCGAAGTAGGAAAGGTCATTCTTCTGATGACTTATGATCAAGCCAGAAAAGAAGCATCCCTTCAAGTGCCATACCTGGAGGCGTGGCTTGCAAGGCATTGATGGATTTGCGGGGCTGAGCTGCACGTGCAGGTCCATCTTATAAACCCTCGAAAGGACAACCGCAAGACAGAACTTGCCGCATTTTTCGGACTCTGGAAAACTTTAGACTTCCTGGCCGCCCGTTCCCCGTAAGGTTCAGCAGCTTGAGCCTCCGGCAACGTGTCGCAATGCCATTGGCTAATTCCACGGACTTTCCACTTAAAGCAACCACAAGAGAAGCGCTAACCAATTTAAGAAGGGGTCTTGCAGCATTGCATTCGGGAAGCAGCCACGAATCTCGCTTCAACACCCCGAAATCACTGTATGTGATTCTCTATGTCCGCACCCAGTTTTCCAAACACCCATAATTAATTTGCAGGCTGCAAGGATTCTAGCTGGCCCCGTCGCTTGGGTGGCTTCCCTTCAATTTTCCTTCGAACCAAGAAGAACAGAGGGGATACTGCAAAAGACATGCTCGGTCGCGCTGGACCTGGGTCCATTCTGACATCCCCAAAACTACCCTCAACTGCGTAGACTTCCAACTGCGTCGGTTTAACGCGCCGTCCGAGTTAAAGCTGGCTGTTCTCCGAGTTGAAATTCACACGTCTTAAGTCCTGCGGACTCGGACCCCTGAGCCCTAAGCCGCATTTCTATATTTTCACATATATATATATATAATATATTCGTGTAAGTGCTCGTCGTATGACAGGTGCGCCCAGAGAGGCCTTTTTCAGGCTTTCTTGCTAGCGAGCCTCTACACTGCGTCGCTGCTCGCATCCAAAGGGCCAAAAGGAAAAACCAACTCCGCGTGCTAAATTTTATGCGGAAACCACTGAAACTCCTCCTGGTAATTTGGAGAACCCAGAAGCCCTCCCCCCAAAATGGGCCCCTACAATAAGACACACCCTGTGTATTTGTGTAGAAACTGATAGTCACATATGTGTACGTATATGTACATAGCGAATAAATTTGCGCACCGTGTGCCTTAAAGAGTCGCAGCAATCACGCTCCTTTCTTCGTGGCATCTCAAATCATGCCTGCTGAATCGTCACCCCCACCAAAACCAACGAAACAAAATGCGGGCCCACTTTACTGCGACTCTTGGCTCAACCCTGACGTGCACTGGAAGGGATGTTCAGAATCTGCTTCACATTTAGCCACGCTTGAAAAATGCCAAAGCCCTTTTGGCTTTCTTCATGGGGACTCCTGACAAATATGCGCTATTCAGCACCCAGCTTAAAAATCGAAACATTTTTTTGGGGAGAGCCTGGAAGCTATGCAGCCACCCCACGCCTATGGGTGACACCTATAAACGCCGAAAATCGACCCCGTTCAATCCAGGCGCCGTTGGCGTTGGGCCTCCTCTCCAGCTTGAATGCGGCTAGGTACACCTGGGCGCGGCTTGGGGCCCAAAGGTCTGCAGCTACCCAGCGAGCAATTACCCCGAAAACATGTCTGTGTTCAAAAGCCAATTTAAAGGGTTGGCTGGCGAGAAACCCATTTCGGGTTGGCTTTTTGGACTCGGTTTGGTTCAGTTTCTTGCTTGCGTGCTTGCCTGCTTGTCGGCTCTGCTCAGTTTGGTTGGTTGGTTGGTTGGTTGCTTGGTTGGTTGGTTGGTTGGCTGGCGGGTTGGTTAGTTGGTTGGTTGGTCGCTTGCTTGCTTGCTTGCTTGCTTGGACGGTCGGTCGCCTGGCTCGGTCGGTCGCTCGGCTGGCTGGCTGGTTGGCTGGCTGCTTGGTTGGCTGCTTCGATGCATTGCATGGTTGCTTGCTTGCTTGGTTGATCGGACGCTTGGCTGGCTGGCTGGCTGGCTGGTTGGTTGGTTGGTTGGTTGGCTGGCTGGTTGGTTGGTTGATTGGCTGGCTGGCTGGTTGGTTGGTTGGCTCGTTGGTTGGTTGCTTGCTTGGGTCGGTCGGTCGGTCGGTCGGTCGCGTGGCTTGATGGCTGCCTGGCTGCTTGCTTGCTTGTTTGGTTGACTTGCTGAGGGGGCTTGAAAACGAACCCAAAGGCCCCCAAAGCGAGGCACGAAGATCTGAGAGCCGTTGATCGGATTCACGGAGTCCAGCCATGGCACTACGCGCACCGGCACCTGCGCCGTGTGCGTCACGTGGCTTGCCACCGGCCCAAGACTTGTACGCCATCTCAAGACCTTCACACCATTTAGGGGTTTAGACTAGACCTTCACACCATTCGGGGTTTGCCCAGGAAACTGGATCTCATCCTCATGATTGCTTTCTGGCTTGAAAGCTGGAACCCAGAGTATCACAGGCTGACCATGATTGGCCTATCATTTTACAGGTCATCAAAAATTGCGCTGAAACTTTGAAAAAACATTCCACAACCATCACAACTTGAAGGGGGGGCAACCATGCTATCACAACTTTCGCAGTGCAGCTCCGGGAAGCAAACCGGAGGCCGAGGCAAGCAGAGCCAGCGCGAATCTCAACGCATAGCGACCACCAAGACTAAGGGCCACTGGAGCTTGGAAAAGTGTGTGTGCGTGTGCATATGTATACACAAAAAACAAATACAGAAATATACAACAAACAAACAAATAAATCGATAGATCCAGCCGCGCTCTGTGTTTCTTCGAGCTCGAAGAGCGAGCAACCCTACCCGCAGGGTATACCGTTGACCTGCCTTGTTGCACCAGAAGCTCCTCCTTAGCATCCCCTGCATCACCAGACACAGGCCAGCTCAGACCTTTGGATCCCAAAACATCCCCGACATCCCTTGCCTTGCGACGGGCTCCTGAACCCACGTCGCCCAACCTTCAAAACACACTGCAAATACCGTGCAAATCGCCCCAGACTGTCGCCAGCATTCCCGCCAACATCCTCTACATCCTCGCCAACTTCACCAGCATCCCCAGCATCCCTTCCGGGCTTTTCAGCATCCCATGCATCCCTTGCATCCCCTGCATTGTGCCAACCGAGTAGGTGTTGGCGGTAGGCGGACATAGCCGCCATGTTTGCGACCAAGTGAGCGGGTATTCCTACTGGCTGAAAGACTTGCCCATGGTAAACAAAAGTTCGAGGCGGCCCGAAACGTGCGAGTCGGATTTCGAGGGCACTTCTTGTTTTTGGTGAGGGTAGTTCATCTTAAAGGGACATCCCTAAAAAAGGAAAGCCTTTCGTGGTCTTCAAACAACTTCCGAACTCTGCTTAAATGGCAAAACCCTTCGGGATGCCAGCCCCCTCTCCCCCTTCGCACCTCGCGCGTGCAATTCTGCCCTGCGAAGAAGCTGACGCCCAGCGGCAGGCGGAAGTTCAACTCCTCGGGGTTTGATCTATGGCTTTTCTTGGTTTATTCTACAAAATGTGGTTTGGGTTCCACAAAGTTGGAGTAACAATCCCTGAACTCCACGTTGGTCTTTCTTTGTTTCCAGGTGGTCACTACAAAATGGAGGGACTTCAGTTCGTCAATGCTGCTTCTCAGTTGTTTCGGATGAGATCCACAAAAGGTGATATCACCCTTTGGGGGCATGACTTTGAATGAAAACAGGAAAACCAAAAGGTCAAAAGGTGAGCTTTGGGGTTCTCGGGAATTCGCTGAAGGGGTTTTGGGGGTGGAACTTGGGGACCCCTCGAAGGAACCAACATGTTTCTCACAAGGAAAGGGGCACGACAAAATGAATTATCTTTGTGGGCGTCCCTTTAACCATGTCAAAATCATTGGTTTCGGAAAGTATCCCTTCGTCCTTCCTTCAAACGAGTAAAATACGCTGTCAAAACTGGTGCAGTGTCCACTTCGAATTTGTTCTGGAGCACCTTGCAAATCAACTAATCCGCTGCAAAACCCTCCTTTTGGCTAACCCCGGGTGATGGTGCAGCCCAATCCTTGGCTTTTGGGTACAGTTGTGGATGGTACACGCGCGCCCCCCCCCCCCCCGCCCCCGGCCAGTCTATGTTCACCAACCAGCAGCTGCAGGCATGGAACATATGTATGTATATATACATATATGTGTATATATACATATATTTATTATGTATATATATATGTGTGTGTGTGTATAGGTTTTAGCATTGTCCTCTGTTCCTTGAGGAAATGGCGGGAATAAAGGAATTCAAACCAAATTTCCAGTGTTGAACATACCTCGTGCAGTGTCTATGTTTGGGTGGATGCAGGCGCAGCATGGGTGCCGTGGAGCGTGTGTCCTGGCGAAACTCAGGAGTTAACCTTGCCCCAACATTCTAGAGGTACATGCCCCATTCTCTTCAGCCTCTTCAAGACTTGTTGGAAAGTGAGGCAACAGGGAAACACCACTCGGTTTGATTCCCGAACCAGTGCCTTCGATAGGCTCTGGTAAAAGGATGCGACAGCTAAACATCACCTATATTTGGTTGCCAGCAAATCTCGTGGACCCCCTTCTAAATCAGGTGATTTTTGGACGCACGCTTTCAATGCACCCCTTGACCGTGGGTGCCCCTTGAGGCAAACAGAATTCACTGATCAGGGACACCCTTTTGATGGCCCGTATCTGGCGTAGCCTGAAAACTATCATGCCTTGTAAATATTATTTATAAGTGTGTTTATATCTATATCTATGTGCGTATCCCACTCCAAGAAAGTATCGGAGAACCTCCCAATTGTTGATGCTTCTCCAAACAAGCACATGGTAAGCCCAAGCTGGAGTCCCTCAAAAAGCAGGCACCAAAACGGCCCCGCACTTCCTGCGAGGATTGGTCAGAAACAATTTTTCCTCTTCCAGCACGGTCTTCCCCAAGAAGTTTTAAGTTCAGAAAACGTTCCACGCGGGATTTCTGAGCAAGACTGTGGAAACTAATTTGACCAGCAACCTTTTGATTGAAAGTGAAAGTGGCACTCCCATACCACCAGCTTATCGCTTTAAAGGGAAATTCCCTTGGATGTCTAGATGGGCAAAATGTTGATTTGTTCCAACGTCACAGAAAGTGGCGCTCCCAATTTTTGTCGTCTCAGAAACCGAGGCGCGGGTTTCAGTACGAAGGCCCCGCGCTCGCCGGTGCTCCGGCAGGTCCGGCTTGCTCTTACTTCGACCGGCTTCTCAAGGACCAGATTCTCAAGGACCAGCTGCCTTGGTACGATGGCTTGGCACTAGCGCGCTTCGGTGGATTGGCCCAAAACGTCCTGAATCCCTAAAAGTGACATTGAGAAGGGTTCTCAAAATTGCTTCTGGGGTGGTTTACCTTTAAACCATCATGTACCGGGAGTTTGTTGGGTGTCCCCTTCCAAACTTTTGGGTTGCCACTGAAAAGGTGCTCCCCGAATGTATAAAAAGTCGGGAACTCAAAGAGCGAGTTAAAGTGAATCGTGTCCAAGGCTTTCCATGGCTCTAGGTGTTCGGGTTCAGGGTTCACATATAACTTGCAAAGCTTCACATCTCAAAGCCTCTTGCACGCCGGGCGGCTTATCATCCAGCGGCGAGCGGATTTGATCCGTCACGCGGAATAGCAAGATATGTAGAGAAACGACAAACCACATGGCGGCCTTGAGCCTGAGGCCAGCGAAGAACAGTGCGAGGCGCGGCAGGTAGGAACCAGGAACTCGAAAAGAACATGGGGTGTCAAAATAAGGGGACCCAAACCACGTGGTGGTTTTCCTGATGGTTTCGCTTTCAACCAATCTGACAAGGGCACCCCCTCAAAGCCACAAACAAATACTGCAAACGAAGAGTCTGCATGAAGCTCGGTCGGAACAGCTCTCTTCAAACATGCCAAATGCAAAAATGCCTTAGGTTTCGCCGGGAAGTCCAGAGCAACATTCCTGCTCTCCTACCACTACAGGGGCATGGCGCAAAACAAAGCGAGTCACAATTCCACATCCAAACTCACTCAATGCACGAGTGAGTAGAGATCAGGGGTAAAAGGTCGTGCATCCTCTTTATGGTTTTCCTTGAAACTTGCGATTGGCCGGTAAGCCTTCGCACCCCGTAGAAGCTTCTGCCTGCCCCTTCCAGACAGCGTGGTACCTGCATCGGGCATCTAGCGCACATCAGCCCGCATGTTTCGAACGCTCCAGACCGCTTCATGGGCCGTGACGACTAGCCAGTGGGACGCAAGGCTGCAACAAAGCATCCTCACACAGCAGTCACACCCAGTAATGCCACAAACGGTCTGCACTCCTTCGTGCGCTCAACCCAGAAAGGACCCAGAAATTAGAGGTAATCTGTCTGATCGAGCAAGAATGGCTGCCAACATGAGAAAACCGAGAGGCCATGTCCGGCCTTTGGTCCCCCGACAAAAGCCCAATGCAATCAATACCTGCAGCTGGACAATCCAAAATCAAAAGCTGGTTGAACATCACACTGAAGCTTCGGTTCATCCCCGCCGTATCGCTTGGGCTTGGGCTTTTGTCATATTTTGTCCCCAAGAAGCCCAAGCATGGCTCAAAAACGGGAACTGACGGGTTTCGGGTTTCGGGCACCCCGTTGAGTGGATCAAGGTTCCCGCACTGGCAGTTGAGTCATCACCCAAAAGAAAAACACTGATGCCCTGACAAGTGGGCCAAAGGAGCAAAAAGACTTACTGTCTGGGGCCTATGAAAAATGGACCAAGGGAAAGCCAAAGGTTGAAAGCTCGGCTTGGGTCGAAAGTTCACATGAGTCCTGCAACTGCTAAGGTAGGTTTTGATGTTCCAGGATTCCAGATGAGTGAGGTCGAAGCCTGCTGCACCCCCGCCATTCTGTCTTTCGACAAGTGAAAACGTGGTCTGTACCAAACCCCTCGCGCCGCGCGCGCACGCAAAAATGTCAGATGGGCAGGAAATGTAGGCCAAACACTTGACAACCTTCTGATCGTTACATGGACAATAATTGTCAAACCAGAATGAAGTTGTGGGGTACTGCAGAAAAACAAGTTGAGCTGTGACCCGGAAGCCCAGCTGATTCTCAAATTCAACACGCGGATAAAGGAAAAACAGGGCACCGCTGGCTGTCTGGGCAATGAGAGCCTCTTTCAGGTCCAAGACTGTAACTTCCAACAGTGTGATAGCGGCCACTCTTGGGGCTTTGGCACGGCGCAACTCCTCAAATAACTATTCTAAGGGCACGAGCCACATTGGCTTGATGGCGAACTTTGCTTCCTCGACATCAAATTGCAGGGTTCAAGCAAACGCGTTTTGGGCGCCAAGTAGCTATGGCGCTAAACGGTTGCCATTGCTTCCTGAATACACACACACACAAGCGTAGTTCAGTTGGATGGATGGACACATGGATGGAAGGAAGCAAGGATGGTATCAATGGCCACAATGGCCACAATGGCAACGATTGCGGGAGGAACCATGCAATCGTACGCCTCAAACCCCAGGTCACTCCAACTACGAGCATTGGTCGAAACCCTATGCTTTGGCAAATGGCTATGGGTCAAAAATGGGTATCCAAAATGGAACCCTGGTAAATAAAACCAAGGACGAAAGCCTGCGGTCACCTAGTAATTTAATTTTGACCCATACCCAAATGCTGTGTATTTTTCCGTGTCGCCAAAGCAAACCTCAGCCCATCCTCCGTTGCAACCGCGACCGGGTGCGGCGCGTTGCAACTTGCAAACAGAGCGCGCGCACGCAAGCCCCGGGGGCTGGCAGGCTGGGACCGAGGCCGAGATGCAGCTGTGCCCAACATTGCGCCTCTACGCCTTCCACCCCAGGTTCCCTGTGCCCTTGCCCAAGGCAAACTCCACATTCCTCTTGAGTGAGTCCAGGAAAAGTCTACAGTCCAGCAACTCGGGGGGGAGGGGCACAAACATGTTCCCTGACAAACGCCAGTCATCAGATGGGCGCTGACTCGGCCGCCCCCAAGCACCAGCGCCCGGTCTCATCTAATCAGCTCCGCAGCTCCGGGAACTTGTAACTAACTCGGACAAAACCGATGCCATGGGTGCAAAGCTGCAGAACCCCTGGCCCTCTTATGCCCGCTTTGAAGAGAAGCCACGCCGCCTGGAAGGCGTTTTTTGTTCCGTTTGAATCGCCGAGCTCTGAACAAAACCTCAAACCGGACGAGACATCGGCGAGAGTTCTCCAGGCCGAAACGCCCTGTGCCTCTCGAGGCTGTTTCCGTCACCGCGCCCAATGTGCAACAACTCTACGCCCAAATTGGGCAACAGGTGGCACCGTGTCTGGAAAAGCCGGTGGTAGCTTTGTGAAAGCCGCGAGCCAAGAAAGGCCAACTCTCTCTCTCGAGCATCTGGGCCCAGTCCAAGCTTTTTTACGCAACCGTTCAAACTACCCATTGCGTCGGTTGATTCTTTGCCACCTTTCGGGTTTCTGCAACTTCGGCCCTTGTTCAGGAAGCATGGGTTCGCAAGCAGTGACATGGATATGTGACGTCAATGACCCCTGCCCAACAAATATGTGTCTTACTTGAAAACTCACATGTTCCCGCTAAGGCTTATCAATCAAGACCAACTATCCTTTGCGTAGGGTACCTTTGGTGGAGACGAGTTCCGTTCTTTTTTTGCCTTTGCCCGGCACGTTATTTTTGGACCCAATGTCGAAAGAGTTGTTTCTTTTGTTTGCACACATGTTGCCGTCACCATGACTTGCCTTCTTGCAAATTTGGAAGTAGGCAAACGGCCTTTGCAGGAGCGCCATCGTTTTCCAACGCCCTGTCAGCTTCATTGCTTTGTTTTTAATGGGGAAGCCGAAATATGGCGATGAGACTTCGTGGTTCGGGGAGCCTCAAGAATAGCCAGCGCGCCTAGGAAGCGCATTTTTGGATGGACAACAGTCTTGGGTCCGACCAACTCGGCCCGAAACTCCCCGGAGCTGCCGGCAAGGGTTCTACAGCGGCGCTGGTCCACGCAAGCTCCCCTTCGCAGACCCAACAAATACAAAAAGGAAAGCTGCTCCTGAGTCTGTTTCATATCCAGACTTCACATGTAACTTTCTACGCCCTGTGTGGGCGTATCCAAAACATGCACTGCCAGCCTTAAGGTCACCCTAACGTCACCCTAAACCCTTAAACCCTGCAGGTCGCCAACAGAAAACAATCCGTTTTCAACATGTGTAATGGGGGCCGAAGGGTAAACTTTGTTCCATGCGACCTGGGCTACTCCACGAATCCCTGAGGGCATAGCTATGCAGTTTACCTACATGAAGGTTGGTGTCTAAAAGAGACAGTGTAGACCCTATAGCGTCACTTGGGACAAACCTGAGTGATGGGATAAAAACACCATGGCCAATTGCATCTTCCAACTTGCCGTGCGGTGTCCTGCAACTGGGAGGAGGCATACAAGAGGACTATGCTTGTGGTGTGAAGGTCAAACAACCTGGGTCAAGCAAACAACTGCCAGGGACGCATGCGTGTGTGTGTGTGGGTGCTGCACCCCAAGAAAAAAGAAAACAACAAGCAAAAAACAAAAACACAAAATATAAACATCCCGGGCGTTAGGCAGGGCCTTGGAGCTTCAGGAAAATACCTTACGCAGATATGAGCAGGACAACAACAACAAGAAACAAACAAACACAACCAAAAGTAAAGAATCAATCCAACACCAAACTTGGAACCCCAAGTAAAGGACCTGCATCACGTCGCTTGTTGCACCTACGAATTGAAATTGCCGGCGTTAAAATAGGCAGGCCGTATCTGTATACATTAAAGTGACATCCTCAAAATCACCCTGGAGACGGTGGTTCAAAGAGAAACCACCTCCAACAGAATGCTGAGACACCCCCCTTCCCCTCCCAACAAAGGACAACAGCTGCATATTCACTTTAATAATCAGCCACCCCATGAAAGCCATTTGCGCCTTAAATTTAGTCCTCACAGGTGCAAATGCGTCCGGGCCTTGAAACCAGCGCAACGGTTTCACCCTGTCCCGCTTTGACCCGTGAGGCTTCTTTGGGAGGTGCTGAAAGGGTGCACTTTCAGTGGGTTTTGCAATTGAACGTCGGCTTCGGCATCTAAGGTGTTGACCTAACCCGTCTCAGAATCACAAGCGTGTACCCCGGCTAACCTCGAACCTAACCAAAAGGGGTACGTAATGTACGCACAAACAAACAAGAACAACAAGTTCGTTGTATGGGAGGCTCGCGTGCACAGCTGGTGAGAAGGTGCGTCTAATGCACGCTTCCGGAAGTCGACTGCCTCAGACGGATCATGGGATAGGTTTCTTCATCCAATGGGGGCCCCGTGTCTCTTCTTTATTGTTGTCTTCATTGCTTGGGGGGGAAGAGGAAGGAGGGGGGGGGAAGCGAAACTAGTTGTTAAACCCGGTTCGCGTGGAACAAAACCACAAATGGGACAAACACCAATGTAAAGCTGAGATTTGAGTGAAGCTCAGCTCAGCGCGGGCTGAGGGCAGCATCTTCCCAACAAGTCACGCAGAATGACGGAGATACCAACCATCTGAACTCCTTTCACCCTTCTCAGGGCTTGACCATTGAGAAGCGACCCAGAAACACGAGACCTAGGCGATCTAGGTGCTACTGGACCGCTCTTTCAGCTCTGGCCACGTGCTGATCTCATTGGTTTGGGGCATGGGCGGTGCTTCGAGGCTTCCGTGGGCCTAGGCTTTCAGCCTTCCGATTGGTCTGCTGAATCGAATCGGTGTTCCGGGGTTTCCCGTCCGACACGGCAGGGGGTCAAATCCAAATCCAACCCAAGGCTTGGCTTCAGGGTTTAGCTTCTTTTGATGCATGGCGCTTGTTTCTCGCATAGGAAGGAATCTCACTACAGCCGCTGCCAAACTTCAGCCCGATGCACTGAAACTGATACTGATTGGCTGATTTCAATGGAGCCGGGGCTAGAAAGAAAAACGGTGATCAAACTGTTCATGCACAAAATCCAACACCTGGATGGATGTTGAAACTACAGTTATTTGGATAAACCACCTACGAACTGGTGCGAACTGGATTCGTACACCCAGCGCATGATATGAACCCAAGTTCCTGTAATACGCGTTATGGAGAAAGTCACGCCCACATGTGACATGCACTGACTAAACCCAAAGTCTGGGCTGTCGAAAAGATGACCCCGACACCCTGATCAGAGTCCAGCATTCATGCATATTCCCTAAGTACTGCAACTCGCCAGTGAGGTTGGGGGAACTTGGGCTCTTTAACGTCTATGTTTCATGGCAGAAAAAATGTACGAGACCAACTGGTCAAGGTCGGCCAAACGGCCTTCCCGCCTTTCCTTCCTATCCAGTCTTGTGGAACTCACTGGGCCGGGTTTGAAAGGGTGGAAGGAAGCTGAAACCAGTGAACTGCGAGAAGCCCTAAGTGCAAAGTCCAAGGCTTGGTCTTTGCCACTAGGATGGTCTTCCCGAAAAGCAGGGCTGCGGATACGTCCAGATCGCAGATGATAAGAACCAGACTGAATCACTTGTCATTGATTTTTATAAGCGGTAAGGACACGGCTAAAGCAGCTGCGGCTTCTGTCCAGAACTCCCAGTGACCACAATCGTGCGTGTGGTGACCATCAAATGAACAACTAACTACAACTGCTTTAGTGAGAATTTCCCAGTTTTGCCGTGTAACAACTCAAGCTGAAACATGCCCACAAGCACTTACTGTACTATCAAACACTTCAGTTCCCAAATCTCTAGTTGCCGGGGGTGGGGAGATACCTGCGTTTGGCTTGTCAAGTTTGGAGGGAAGTCCGCCAAACACGAAGGACACCAATTCTCGGTTGATCGAGTTTGAAGGGAAACCACCCCCCAAAAGAAAAGAAAAAGGAAAAGGACCGCAGAGGTCTCGTCTATCACCCCCCCCCCAAGCTTCCGGCGAGTCGCGGGTTGCGGCGAGTCGCGGGTTGCGAACCGCCTGCGTGGATCGAAACAAGGGCAGGGGCGGCGGGTGGGGCGCAGCTCACCGTGTGGGGAGGCAGGCAATCCGAAAAGGACCAACAAAACAAACAGGCTCCCGCTTAGTCGCCCCTGTTTGTCTGTTTGGTTTTGCCAAGGGTTCTTAAAAACTCAGTAAATCTGATTCAGCTTTTCTAAGGACCTGGCTTTTCACTCACTGTACCCTACCTCAAACCTATCCTCAGAATTGTGGTTCAAAAGGAAACCCTCAAAAGTGATCTTGAGAACCCTTCACCCAACACGTTCGCTTTGAGGGGCCTATTGTTTCAGTTCTTGATTTGGAGGGGCCTAGTCCCAAATCCATGAGAACAGGACAGAACATTGGCGAACCAGTCGTGACTCACAATTGGTCTGTTTCTCAAAGGGGGAATGGTTGTGACTCATACTGAATCTCAATGGGCACAGGGAACTTGAAGAATCGCCTTGAGCGGCTCTCATCAGCTGCGGGCCGAGCCTCCGCCTAACGAGGAACCACAGCTGGCATTGGTTGCATCACCTCGCAAGCGCTTGCCAGCAAGGCGGCTCAGTGCCATGCAGAATTTAGGGAGCTACCCGCAAACAAGGAAGAACCAGTGCCAGCGATGTCTTGGCGCTGCACCGGAGAGGTCTGGATTAATCAGGAGGCCCAGGGGCCTAAGAGGCAAGAGGACTTTCCAAAACACATTTCTCCCTAAAACCACCTGATCTGGGCAAGTCACTATTCACCAATTGCAATTCAGGATCCCCAAGCAACCTTCACCATGAGCTTGCCTTATCCCAGAGCATGGTGCAATGTGTCCAGAATGGAGTCAACAGCCTTTGGGATTTGCCCAGGGTGGAAGATGTTCTCATTGGCTCCGTTTTTAGTGGCGCCTATGGACAACCAAACAAAAAGCAACATACTTTCGAGGTTAGAATTCACTGAGCCCCCAAACCGTGGAATTCCGTGAGGAAAAAACAAATCTGCGTTCTTTTGGTTGATTTTCAAGGGGCCGAGTCATCCCCTGCCACCAAAACAATCCCAGCACTTCCAGTTGCTACTATAGTAGTCAGGGGAATCCATGCAAAACCGAGAGGTAGCCATACCTGCTTACCTATAGCCGCTGGAAGCACTGGGAAAGCTTGACCAAAGGATCTGCCCACTTGGCATCGGTCCAACCCACAGCCCCTCTTGGGGCTTCAAGCGGGAGGGGCACAGCCGGGCGGAGGCAGCACCAATGGCCTCGGTGGGGCACTGCTTTTTGGACAGCAAGGGGATTTTGGACCTTGGATAAAGCGGATGCGATGGCAAGAGGAGTTTCCTCTACCAAGCATGCCTTCTTGGAGAAAATGTTAAGCTGCTGGAGAATATGTTGCACGCAGGATTCCTAAAAGGATACATTATATACAGGGATCCGGAACCACGATATTAGCTAGCAGTGATCTTTGCACGATCGAAACGCATCCTTTCCGGGATTCTGCTGCATATATGTTGGTGCCCTTAACACAAAGCGGTGGTCTACAAATCAGCGGTTTGGACACTTGCGTTGAAGCTTGCACTAGGTAGCATATTGGACATCTTCGGAGACAAGGCCACCAAGGAATACCTAAAGCACCTACATGCCATGGAGCTGGTTCCGTGCCTTTGCCCGGGAGGTCGCATTTTGTGGCGTGGGGCAGAAGATTCGACCAGCCGAGCCAATCAGGGCCTACGGTTGCACCTTGGGCGCCCCTCTTCACCTACCCGAGTTGATGTTTGGCAAAATCTTGCGGCCCAAACCGCGGGGGAGCCAATCCCTACCCTTCGTTTCATTCACCCGAACCCTAACCCTTGGTTTTGGCGATCCACTCAGGATCGATTCAAGCAGCGTGCGCGTCCAAAGCGGGGTCGAAATCCAATTGACTCTGATGCCGAGGGGCGGCTGCACGAGGTGCGGCTGATGGAGCATCTGTGCCTGAGGAAACCCTCCCCTGCAAACTGCCAGGCGCACCACCAATTGGAGGGAAGCTGAACATCCATACAGATGACTTCTATGCAAGGCTTAGGGGCCCTTCTGGCGACGCACTTCACCTCGCCCAATCTCAGCGCCAAACTCGTACTTAGTAACCTTGAAATCGAACATCCGTTCTGAGACCCAGCGATTCAAATTCATTGTGACATAACGTGTTGTCTCTTTCTCACACACTTGTGAAGGGGCCCCAACCAACCCCCCCCCCCCCCACACAAAACAAAAAAAACACGAAAAGAAAAAAGAAAGAGCAAAACACCCCCTGCGGTCCGAGGACAAGTTCTATCACTTGTTGCCCTTTGACAACCCAAAACGGCATTTTACACATTTCTATACCAAGCTCAGGGCTCCTTCGCGCCAAACCTGTGGATAGCGAGCGGATGTAATCAAGGGGTGGTGATTCTGCAACACATCTTACCGCCACCTATTTCGCACCGGATGGCTCAACCGCCCTGTGAAAAAGTGTTCTTCTTTACAAATTGGTGGGGAGGGTCATCATTTCCCCAACAGTTCGCCTGAAAATCCCCCCCCTCTGCTTTCCTCTTGGGACGGTGACTCAAGGGGAGGCCCTAGATCTTCTTGGGCCCCGGCCAGCTGCTTCGCAACTTCTGGTTCTTCCACCTGCGTGCCAAGCGTCTTGGGATCACAAAGGGCCGTGGTTTGAACACCTTTCCTTGGCATCGGGGTACAACAACCATTTACCATCTTCGCACTCTGTTCAAACATTTAAGCAACCTTTACATTGAAAAAACGACCAAAGAACTAAAACACAACACGCAAACTGAGGAGACCTTCGCTCTATCGGAGCCAAGCGCGCCTGTGTCTCCTGAGGTTCCGCCAGCTTGGCCGGCTTGGTGTGATCGAAAGCAACAAGGCCAGGGTGATCCGGATACCAGGGAAGCAGCACCTGGCAGCGAAGCTTCCCCCCCAATGTTTCGCAAGGAACCTCTCAAACTCGAAAACATGTTCAAGAAGAACCCAAAACCATGCTCACGACAACGAAAAAAACAAGCGCTTCTTGATTTCCACGTAAGTTTCAAGGGGAGCATCCACTTTACCCTCGCTTCCTGTCTTTGCGGGTGGAAATAATGCATTGATGGCCAAGTCGTACTTCAAAAGGGCTCCAGAACAATGGCCCCGTCAGGAAGGCAAAAGCAACCAATCTCAATATGACATCCATGTCCTCGTATTTCAGTCACATGGAACAAGTTGTAGGTGAAAGGGGTCTGAGTTGCAGGATTGCTCCGAATCAAGTGACCACAAGGATGTGTTTTTGTTCGTTAAACACAATGGTTCGATGAACCCCTTGGTGGTTGCTATAGGGAAACTATGTATTTGCCCTGTTGGTTTTAAATGGAATCTATCACTTGAAAAACGTCCCTATACCCCTATACTCACTGGCATGACCGTTATTGCCCTCAGCCGGACCGCACCGATGGCACTGTATCACCCTTCGGGCCAAGCCATGTGGAGGTTCGGGTGTTTGGTGTGTTTGTTTGGGTCATGATGGGTGAATTGTTTGCATGCCCCCCAGCCCACAAACAGGGTCAGGTGCTTCCCCGGTCAAACCCGCTCATGCGCATGTTGAACATATAACAGCGACCATAGGGGACGATTTTGTACCCTCGCCCAGGCCAACATGGAAGCTCCCAGGACCCCTTTGAAAGACTTGGTTCCATTTACAGAGGCGTTCTGGGAGCTTCCATGTTAGTCTGAGGGGGTGTAAACAACTGAAAGGACAACGGCTGGTTGCTTACTATGTTCACTGGGATCTGGGCATTGTCTTGCCTATCGCACGGCGGTTGGGTCGGACCTCCAAGAGTTCAGCGAAGCAAGCCACTTCTCCTGTCAACACCTTGGTTGCTGGTGATGGGTTTAGTGGAAACCCCTTGGTTTCCCAAAAAGATAGAGTCTAAAGATCCAACCCAAAAGCGATCAAGAAACATCACCTGGACCCAGCACCTTGTGTTCGCACAGCTTCAGGAGTCGGAATTGCGGCTGACAATCAATGCCCACTTGCAAGCACTGACCTGATGGCGGTCCAGTCCATGGACATGTCCAAGCCCATTGGTTTTTGTAGCCCCCCAGCCTGTTGGTTTCCCTCATGTTTGTGGCTGTGACTCATTGTGATACGCAAATGGTCCATCCCCGTGACTTGTTCACTTGTACGCCTTCGGATCCTGAGTTGGGGAACATCGATTTCAACCGGAAAAGGCGGCGGCCAGAACCATCTTGACCACTTGGCCCACTTGCTCGGGGAGCAAGTGGACAATCGCTTCGGCCACTTCGTCCACTTGGCCACTTGGTCCACTTGGTCCACTTGGTCTGCTTGCCCATGTGGCCCAACTGGACCAAGTGGACCAAGTGCGACCAAGTGGGGCAAGTGGACCAAGTGAGACCAAGTGAGACCAAGTGGACGAAGTGGAGTGGCCACGGCCACTTGTCCACTTGCCGGCTGCTGACCAATTGGCTAGGTGGGCGAGTGAACCAAGTGGACATCTTGTTCACTTGCCCAACACGTGGACCAGTGTGGCACTTGTCAACTTGCCCGGCAAGCTGACCCGTTGACCAAGTGGACCTCAAGGTGCACTTGCCTGGGAAGCCAAGTGGAGCAGGTGGACTACACGTGGATAGGCAAACAAGCCAAATGGACCAAGTGCCCAAGTGCTCGGCGAGCAGACCCATTGGATGAGTAGACCAAGTAAACCGCGTGGGCAAGTGACCACGGCCCGAAAGGGGACCAAAGTGGTAAATGGACCAAATGGAATAAGGCGGACAATTTCCGTTGTTCAGGTTTGCGAAAAGTTGAACAACGCGATCCGCATCCTACCGAGCGGACAATGCTCAATTCAGGGCGAATACTTGCACAACCTGACCTTTCATCCCACTAGGCTGGCCATGCCGGTCGTTCAATTCGGGGTCGGATACGCGAATATTGAACAAGTTATCCTCACCCTAGCGGGCGGGCAATGTCCATTGTTCCATTAGCAGCGAACAATTGAACAACCTGACCCTTCATCCCATTGGGCTGGCAATGCCCGTTGTTCAATTAGGGGTCGGAAATCTCTCTCGCCTTCTATAAAACAATCTCGCCCCCTCCCTCCCTCTATCTATATACATAAACCGTACCTGTATCTACATAACGCGCCCTCTCTCGCTATAACCAGACCGCTCTATGTTTTTCTAACTGTACCGCTCCCTGTATAACTACCACACCCTTTCTTTCTCTATCTTCATACCTGGACCTAGATCTCCATGCATATCCTTCAAAAAAACAAGACCTTTCTATGTGTAACGATATCTCTTTCTATGTAGCTTCCACACTCTCTCTCTCTCTCTCTCTCTCTCTCTCTCTCCCCATCTTCATACCTACCCCTATCCTTATCTTCAAAACTACCCCTCCTATGACTACCCCTCTCTCGATCTAATTACCCATGTCTGTCCAATTCATACATCTCTCTATCTACATACATAAATTGCATGTGTATACCATATATATATATAAATCTCTCCCAGCTATAGGCCTCTCCTTTTTTGTATCCACAAAAGCTCTCCTCTCTTTGTAGATGCAGACAACTATCCCTTTACATATATGACTGTCCCCCTCCCTCTATAACAACTACCACTCTCTCTGTATAACGGCCACTCTCCTCTCTCTCTCTCTCTCTCTCCCTCTCTCTCTCTCTCTCTCTCTCTCTCTCTCTCTCTCTCTCTCTCTCTCTCTCTCTCTCTGAGACCGCTAACCTTATTTATATAACTATCCTCTATGCGTAAAACATATCTCTGTATATATATATATATGTAGATAACTCACTCTCTCTCACTAAGCCTCTCAACATATCACTCTCTATCTCTCGGTAACTACCACTCTCTTTCTCTCACCCTCTTTCTTCATACCTAGATCTCTATCCTTATCTAAATGCCTATCCCTCTCTCTCTCTCTATGACGATCTTCCTCTAAACGCATAGACCTCTGTACCTATATGCAAAAAGTCTCTTTTGTCTGTGTAACTACCCCCTTCTTACACAAACATAACTATATTATAATAATAATGATGATAATAATAATACCCCTCTCTGTCTACATACCTATACCTCTCTCTATTAAAAGAACTCTCTCTCCCCCTCCCTTACATACCTGTAACTCAATTAAAGGCCGTATATGCGACAAAATTGAACAGCGTGATCCTCATCCTCGCGGGTGGGCAATGTCTGCTGTTCAAATAAGGACGAATAATTGAACAGGCAGATCCTTCATCCCATTGCGCTGGCAATGTCCGTTGTTCGACTAGGGGTCGGGTAGACAAAGAGTTGAACAACCCAACCCTTCGCTTGGCCACATTTGGTCGAAAAGCGGCTTTGGCCACTTGGTCCACTTGGTCCGCTTGGCCACTTGGTACACCTGCCAGAGAGCAAGTGGCGAATGGCTTCTGGCCGCTTGGTCCACTTGCTCGGCCACTTGCTTCACTTGCTCAGCAAGCAAGTGGACCAAGTGGCCAAGTGGACCAAGTGGCCACTGCCACTTGTCTACTTGCTTGGGGAGCAAGTGGACCAAGTGGCCAAGTAAACCAAGTGGACACAAGTGCCACTTGACCAGGACCCTTGCTTTTGCCAGCGGTGGCATGAGTGACCCAGTTGTTGGTTTTCTCTGAGCTGTCTCAGTCGCAACGAACAAGACCCTGAAGCAAGCAATCCCCAAATCGTTAAACAACATGCGCTTTCATGCGTGGGGCCTTGCAAGCGTGTGCACAAGTCCCAGGGTCATGCATCATGCCGGCGAATGATTGCCCCATCGGCAACTGCAGGACCCATCGGCAACTGCCTTGAAGCCAAACCTAATAAAATGGTCCTAGCCTTGAAGCCAAACCTAAACCCTAAATTGTGTGGACCTTCAAATTGCCGTGGACCGCCCCAAACCCCAACGACCTAACCAACACTCAACCGCTCGAATCTTCCCTCGCCTTCACTGGCTTGTCCCCGTGGCCGTCGGCCGCTGCTTTGGCGGCCTGGTCGGGGGGAGTTGGAACAAAGGGAAGCCAACCATTTGGGCATAAACAAGGGATTGAAACGAAAACTGTTCTCCTGTGCAACGCAAAAAACAGGTAGCCGTCCTTTGGTGAAAGGAACTTGTTTATGCGGGGTCCATGAAATGGATCTAAAGAAACACTTGAGTGAGTAGCCCCTTCCTGATGAGGTTTGACCCATTGCATGTTCAGTAGTCTGCTTTGAGTAGTGGCTCGAAAAGGTTCAGCTTCTTCATCTTGGGCTGTTTGGACAACTCAGGTTGGCCCATGTATACAAGCATGCTGCTGTTCTGTGAGGATCTGGCACCACAGAAACATTGGGTGATTGTGTGCATGCATGTCGCCATTTCTCCGTTGACACTGCAAGCATCTTGCTTGAAGCCCTTTCTTCTCTGACATGATTTTGACCGGTATGTGCATACGCTTGACATGATTGCTTGCTTCAATTCGCTGTTGGGCGTGAGTCCTTATGAGCTCCTACGCGCCACGAGGTCGTGACAAGATGTCACAAGTCCAGGCCAGGCCTCGTCTGTTTGACTGGTGCTTGACATGCATGTTCAAAAGGACCGAGGATGCACGCTCGAGAAAGAACTGCTTGCTCAACTATTTGCTACTCAACATGCCAAGCGTTCAAACGTGTTGAAGGCTACAAACTTTGGCTTACACCTGAACTGGCCGCCTGGTTTCCGGCATCTTTCGGACGAATGGATGGCATCATTCAATAGTCTGACTCCGCCATAGCCCCCAAAAAAGGAACATGAGAATTAGTCATAAAATAATGGCGATAGAAAATATCAGCCATTTCCCAATACCCTCAGGGTTCTGTATGGTGGACAATGAGGCTCTATTTGCAACCCATTCGTCTGCAAAAACCAGCACGGTGTCCATGGCACCTCCTCCCTCTAGAATCAAAGTGAAACAAATGGCAGCTTAAAGAAAACCATCCCAACCAAAATAGAAACAAACAAAGAAGAGAGAGAACCCCTCTACATCTTAAGGGACACACGGGCCCTCCACGTCTCCGCCGGCCTCTGCTGCTTGTGCGCCGAGGCCTTCGGAGATGGCGGAGGAGATGAGCATGCCACCGTAGCAGCCGCCTGCGGAAGTGTTGCTTCGCAGGCCTTCTGATGGATCGATCGATCGAATCCAGAAATCTCTAACAGGAACCCCTCGAAAAGTATATATATATACATTTATCATTTCTTTAGGGGGACCGGCCCTGATTAGTGCAGTCCGGATCAGTCCGAAGCCAACATTGATCATTTCGGGATTTGCATAAGGAAGACATGTTTGCATGTTTGTTTCAATAGAGGAAGCACCCTATTGTTGTAGTTCTCGCACAGCGACATCGAAGGCTTCCAGTTTCTCAGCTTCCCTCCAATCGGTTTGGAGCCGGTTTGGCTTCCGTTGGGTGGCCTTCCGTTTGAGCACGAGAGGGGATCCCAGTCGGACACATGCCCGTAGCCTTCAGGCCAGGGGACCTGTCGATGGCGCGAAACTTTCGGGCTTCCCGGCATGGCGGCAGGTTCGGAACGTTGGGCCCGCTCAGGAGCATTGCCAAAAATGTCAGTGCCTGTGCCTAAGCACACGGGTTGGTCCTTTTTTGGCGGCTAGCCTGTTTTGTGAGGGGTTTCAGAGGGGAAACAAGAGGAGAACCGTAATTTTGGAAGGCCTAAAAAGCGCATGACACACCAAATGGCTGGGCTCGGAGATGCAGTGTTGCATCGTTCCAAGAATAAAATAACATATTCAGAGAAAGCCTGGGGCTAAACAAAGGGGCATATTTGGGGAGGGGCCCGTTTGTCGGGGGCGCCCCTCCCCGCGTATGATGGACATGTTAGGGCTTGTTGTTAGGGTATGTGTTTTATATAGGGGGTTCAACTACAAAATGGGCTCTAAGTATCCTTGGTACGTGCCCCCCAGAAACTGCAGAAGCCCACCAGCCAACCTTCCAAGGAGTCTAGGTGAGCAGCTAGGCCATTCGGCCATGAGCAGCACACGAAACAGGTTTGGTATGATGCAGACTTGCTGAACAAGTTGAGGAGCCTGAAACAACTTGGTCTCCGTTTGCGTTCTCTTTTGGTATCATTTTGGCTACCCGTCAAAGCCCATTTGAAAGAGGCCCCATTTCAAGCACAAACCCCGATCCACTATGCCGAGTGGTGCCAACCCCTTTCAACCACAATGTCACAAGGTGGCCGCGAAACCTACACATCACACCCACTTCGCTCTTCCAATATGGTCGGCTATGTGTGCTCAGCAGTGAACTTGGTGCTGCACTTGCAGCATTCAACCCCTACCAACCTACCCGAGTTTGGGGGTTCGCTCGTGTCCATGTCCATTCAACTCCAGAGCACTGGCGCATTTGCAGGTATGTGGTTCAAGCTAAGAAACAAGACAAAACAACTAATTCTTGCGAACACAAATCTTTGTAGTAGGGGTTATGCACCCATTCTCCAGACTGACATGGGCAGGGGGAAAGCAGCCTGGCCCAGCCTGGCTAACATGTTTCACCACGTATGTCGAGTCAACCTCCGCGGGATCCTTGTTTGCCGGCACTGGGCATGGTTGAGTCATGCCCACACCCGCCACGCCATGCCCACACCCGACACGCCTAGCATAATCCCAGGGGTCCGAACGCTAGGAATATGGACCCTTTGCGGGGTATCCGGGTTGACGATTTTAAGTGGGGAACCCACTGAACATAAAGGGAAACAGAGCAGAGTCCCTACACAAATGGCTCTCTTGTGACCACGACTCAATTTGGCTTTGAGTGCTTTGAAGCACCCTACTCAGATCATTCCGGCCCTTACAGTAACCAAAGCTGGAACTACTTTGGGGGGGGGGGGTGAGCACAGGGGCCGGGGCCGGGGGCACTCTGCCAGCTGGCTTCGGAACTTGGCGCCCACACCACGAGCGTGTCCTCGCGGTCGTCGGCCTTGGGAAATGTTCACTGTGCACGGCCAGGTCAGCCCGATGGGTGCGGGTGGACATAGGGGACCGCCCCTCAATGGGTGGCTCAAGTTGGCACAACGGGTAGATCATAATTTGCTTGCCGGTTCTCAGTCAGGAATGTCAGTTCTGGGGGAACCCGGATGGCAGCACAGATCGCAATCTGGACAAGATTCAGTATTGCTGACCTTTTGAGTTGTTCCGTGCCTGGCAAGTTGAGGAGCTTGGCGAAGAAGAAACGGAGAGCCCCCCCCCCGGCAAAAAACAAAACTAGGATTGCTGGGGAAAAGGCCATAAGCGGCGCCATCCCTCATCCCGATGACACTCAGTCAATTTCAAGAGAGTCGAGTCAATTCTACCGAACCCCACAACAACCACCAATACAGACTTCCAAAATTCAGGGGGGGGAGGGGGTTGGAGGCATTGTGCATGAGGATAGGTGTCTATGCTACCTTTCAAGCTTCTGTTGGCGACATACTTGCCGCATCCGTAATCCCAAAACCGAAATTTCTACCTTGCATCATCTGGCATACGGATCTTGCGGATCAAATTTGTACAGCCTAGGGACAGCCAACGCAAAGATCAGCACAAGGACAGTTGCAAACAAACCCTGGTAGCAAAAGGGGGATTATTTTTCGCCGAAGGATCTAAAGGTGGCTCCCCGCAATCGGAATATTGGGATTGTACTCCGAGCCCTTTTAGGAATCACGACAGGTGTGGAGCATAGAGAGTCTTTTCCTAGATTAAGACACCCAAACTATGAATACCCATCCTGGGTTCCCGTCAATTAAAGGGCACCCTGCCTGCATGATGCCCCCTGCAAACATGACCACAGGAGGAAGACGATGCGAAAACGACAGGATGAGGACCTGACTCGTGACCCTTGCCTTGCCAGACTTCGGCCAAGAATGGCAAAGCGTCAAACAAAACCAGGGAGCATAACTCAACAATGCGCAGGCGACATCTGCACCAACCACCCGGAGCCCTCCCAGAATAGCACTTCGAAGCACTCCAGAGTTGCGAACGTAGGTATCCTTCTGGGACAATAGACGGCGGAAGGACACGGAATCAAACCCATCTAAACCAGTGAAACCAATTTATTTCCAGCCAAACTAACCAGGAAAAGACACCTATGGAATCCAAGGCGGGCCGAGTCGGGCCTTGTAGCCCCTCGAGCCCCTCTGGGCCCTCGGCAGGCCACACCAGCCTCTGTGAAGCATCAGCCACGGCTGGCATGGCCCCTGAGCACATGGCGAATTCCCTTGGACTTAAACACCTGGAAAATTAACCAGGCCAGCATAGAACAATGGCCATCCCCATCGTGATGTCCTCTTGACATCTTGGTAAAATATAATGCCGCACAGGCCAAAAAGTTAGGATGCCCATCAAAAGTGAGGTTGCCGACCTTTTTTTTGGTGAGGTCGCTACAAACTTGCCAAACAAACATGTGAACCTTTGTTCTTGCCCCAAGCTGTCACAATAAGAACTCCCTGTGAAAGGAACCGTGATGGGTGAGATTACCACCCCTCTTTCTGAGGTCGCTAGAAACTTGTCAGAAAACTGTGTTCTCTCTCGTCCCGTGTAGTAGTAGCAAGATGGAAGGGCGAACCTATGGAAGGCATAGTCTTAAGCGCGATCAAAGGGTTGCTGATGCTGGTTGCTCGCGATTGCTGAAAGAATGGGCTCCCTGAGCATCCCTGGCAAGGCCAACCAAAGGGGTCTTCTGACCGTGGCCATTTTGCCCCAGGCTGTGGGATCTTCATAGCAACCCCGAAATCCACGTCTCAAAGACAGGGCTTGTTTCTGCAATTTGCTTCGTGCCGCCAGTCAACCGTGGTTCATCGCCATCCCGAACAAATTGCCCAGTCGCCCAACCAAATGGCTGGTTCTTTCAAGTCACCCCATCAAACAAGAAGGGGAAAAGGAAGCCACCGAACAGCTGAGGTTTGGCCTCCTTGCCTATGCACCCAGTGCAGCCATAGAACCACCCAGACCTTTCTGTTCATGTAAACAAAGTCAACAAAAGTGCGATTTTTGTCGGGTTGATCTTAAAGCGTTGATACCCAATACAATGGGAAAAGACGGATCCGCTTGCAGGTGTCCTAGCATTTGGTTAAGACCCCTGGAGAAAAAAACAGTAGTGATAATTTCCTTTTAAAACCAAGAAGGGAAAATAAAACATATTCTTAAGCAAATGGAAGCGTCTGGCAGTAAGTCGTAGGACCGCTTCCGCCCTGTCAAAGCGAAAAGCTCAGCGAGGCCCCCGGCCGCTGGGTGTGGGAGGACCGCTGGACAGCAGAGGTGCTCTATGTGCGTAACCTGGTCGGCTGGTCGCTTTCTGCCAGTTGCATGTCAATGAACCCCTGTTTCTTGATATATCCTGATGAATCCCCACCAAACTTAGGGATGCTCCGTGCTGATTCATTTGGGGTCAACAGTACTTTACATGTGGGCCTGCATCTGCCAAACATCCCAGAAAGGTGGAAGGCTATGATTGACCCATGTCCGCTAAAGTCTGCTCAGCGCCCCTTCAAGACAAGTCCTACATGTGACGAGCCAAAGTAAATTGGTGCTTTAGATCGGTGGTTCGATTGGATGTGAATTTGTTCCGAGGGTGGTTTCCCAGCTCTCCACAAGAGCCTGGGGTTCAAATACAAATCCAAGCCACCAATCCAAACATAATCAGGGGTTCAAACCAGCAAATCCCCAAGAACCAGGAGTTCCAGCCAACACAAACAAGGCTTACCTGAATTCTGTTGCCAGGGACTCTCGACGATCACATCCGAACCATGGACTCTCCATCCCCGCAAGCTGGTCAACATGGACCCCTCCAGATGGGTAAAATCGTTCGGCATGAAGAGAACGGCAATTCGCAAATCGAAACCCACAATTCGCCCAAGCTCCCTTGCCTGCGCTGTGCGGCCACCTAAGCTGACGGTGTGTTGCAATTCATCTCGCTGGTCGTTGCTTACTGGTTCAAATGTCGAACCTGTAAACAAGCTTAAGCGCTCACCTGTTGCCAAGGTAAAATGGACAGGCGTCTTTCCCAAAGGAAACTAATCTGCGAAACCCCCTGGCCATTTCTGGAGGTCGGGGCGACATGGCGCTTTCGCCGAAGTGCACCAGGAATTACGTTTGAGGTTCCATCCTCCCGGCCACCGACTTAAACAACCAGGTGAGCGCTAGCTAGCCCGCTAGCCCTGGCTCGGCAGCGCCGAAGACAAGGGGCTACCCCGTATGGACGCAGGGGTCTCAAAGCTTAACCAGCCAGCTATCAGCGATATGAGGAGCGGAAGTAGTGAAGTGTGCCATGCCTCCTGGCAACAAACTGCAAGAGCTCTTCAGCCGAAGGCTTCTCTCGCTCTGATTTGGCCACGCAACCGGCACCTCATCCTGAATGCAAACGGCGCGTGAGGGACAAGCTATTGAAGGCCCAAGCCAGCACACCCGCAAAGCGGTTCGAGGGACAAGCTATGGAAGGCCTAAACCAGGTCAGCCATTGTTGTTAAGGGTGCTCACCAGCTGGGTGCTGACAATAAGCAGGGGGCCTGAAAAAATAAGCAATTACCCATTCCCTCTTTACACTGCCTTTTAGTTGAGCAACGTCCTCCAAAACCGGAAGCAAAGGTAGCACCCACGCAGGCCCTCACTAGAGCGCTTCAGCAAATCCACTCGGCGATCAATCACCGGGGGTGGCGAACGAAACCCGATACATCCTAATCACAGCCAATCCAAAAGTTGCCAAAGCTTGTCTGAAGCCAAAACCTGCAAACCAAGTACACGGCACTGGGCAAAACAACGCGCACACACACACAGAGACACAAGTAGTAGAAATACTGAACACAATTGCAGGGTGTCTAAACGTCCTTGGTTGAATGATTTCCGGGGAAGGGGGAAATCCATTTGAACGAGGAGATGAGGCATCACTTAACCCCATCTCACAAACAAAAGAGAGGACGTTGAGATGGGTGTCAAGGGATGTCTGGAACAATCAACAAATTGCCAACCCATCCCTTGGTGGTGTCCTCAAAAGACCGGTGCCAAAACACGGCCTCCTGGGAAATTCGGGCAAAACACACACACACACATCCAGCCAATCGGGAAACACCAAAAAGGTAGGTGTTCTAGCTTGCGACTCCTGCGACTCCTGCCCCCTTAGGGTTGGGAAAGCAAACCCACCAGAGAAACACATTGGGAACACAAACACTTGGTCGCCCTTGCGGCTGCCGCATGCCCCCTTCGGGCCAAGCAGCTGGTGCGGGGGGGTCTGTGGCCTCAGCGGCGGGCGCGGAAGCCTTGGGATTTTTGAGGCTCAGTGCCCCCTTTCGGTTGGTTTGCACCTGTCCGCCAAAAGGGCATGTATTTCTGGGGAAATTGTCACATGGGTGTCTCCATGTGTCTCTGTGTTGGTACCCATGTTTTGGATGGCGGTTGGCTTGAAAGGGAAACCCGACGGAGAAAAGCCGAAATCAATCTTGGGGTTCTTAAAAACAAGACACACCCCTGATGGATTTTTGGCTTAGGCGCCTTGTTATCTCCAGTTCTAGGGTCCCTGTGACTACCCGAGTATTCGGGTGGCACTTGGGTCACTGGCCAGCCATGCCTAGCTCGAGTTCCACTGCCAAACAGGGTGCGCGACCGGAGCACTCAGGTTTTATCAGCGTAAAACTAGCTTTCCCTGTCGGGCAGCGGGTTGTGGTTCAGCACAGCCCCCCTTAAACCAAATGCCACCAAAATCAAACTATCTACCAACTGGATCGCAAACTTTGGACACATGCCCACCCGTTGCGTGGAAACTCGGAAAAATCGAACCCTTCCTGTGCCAAGTGGTTGCGTTTCCATTCCCAAGGTTCCTTCACTTAAACGGGATCGATTAAGCGCCGGCTCTCAGGACCTCGGGGCACCCCACATCTTCTCCACGAGGTTGGGCCTTCGAGAGCCGCTGCCCGACTCACTCGTCTCTTGCTATACTCATCCCTCCCTTTCTATAAGGACTAATAACTAGGTCCTCCAGTGAGGTTAAAATAAGGGTACCTTTTGTTCTGTAGTCTATTGCAGTAGGGGAACCCTCCCCCCAAAAAAAGGGTCAAAGAGCACTACTGGGGGACCTAGACAAAGTCAACTCTAAACTAGAATCAGGCCAATTCTAAAGTAATGCGAAGCCATCAGCTTTCCCCGTAGTACTCATCCAATAAGGGCCCTCTGCAGCACTGCTGGCCGATACTCAAGCAATATGTAACCAGAATGAAGTTCATTGAAACCAAGTCAAAAGAACACATTCGGCATGGATTTCTGATGTTTAACCCCGTACTCGGACATTCCCGTTGTGAGATCCAATGCAAAGGTTCCCCTGTTTTTTGGGGGACACCGGCCATCAACTGCTGGGTGCCTAGCCCTTTTAGGGACCCCAGACACTGTTAAACAAGCAACCCTTGGCGTCGCCTCGCAAAGAAAACCAAAAGAAGGTTGATTTGACAATAGTGTTCCAGAGCCAACTTCCTGTTTTTGCTTAGATTCCCGCCAAAAACGAACACGGCACCTTCGACTTGTTTCTGTTGGTGATGTTGAAGGGAGCCCCTCTCCCCAAACAAGGAAAAGAAGGTGCCGCTGGTCAACTGGGCCTCCTTTTGGCCAGTAGACCACAACAAACGGATCCAAGAAACCAGCGACATGAAGTTCGCCAGCAAGTAATTTGGCCAATTGTTCTGCCGAATTTACTGCAGAATTTCCTGCAAATGGTTTCTATGAGTGGAGGTTAGCACATTTACAACCCGCAGGGCTCCCTACATTTTCCATGGCCCAAAAGGCGATGTTTAAGCAACAAGATAAATACGGGGAGCCCCCTGATCAAGTGCCGTGAAGGACTACCGTCAACAATCCTCAAAAAATGGGCCCCATACTGGGAACCCCGGATCGATATACCCATCCTAGCGGGTATCACCCGATCAAAATCATGAAATTAATCATCATCCCAAGGGCCGGGGTCCCCGACTTCAGGGTTCGCTAAATTTCCCCATTATCATCACGCCATTCAGATAAAGCTAACCATAAATTTGCCCAAAGGGTGATGCTCCAAACCAAAGATGACGTTGCAAACCAACGGATTGGATTGCAGGTCATTGGGGGGGGGGGTTGCCTTTTAGCCTCCACAACCACGGGGGGTTCAAATCTTCACACCACTATTCCAAAGCTACCTGATTTGGAGGAAGCCAGCAATTCATACCACGGCTTTCCGGGAATTTTGTTTCGCCACATCCGGCCGCTCCACTCGCAGGGCCAATCAATGCGCCGATCCGAGGCTTCCGCGAGTAGGGCGGCGGAGGTCCGGCAGCTTGGCCCGGCATGAGGGGCGCCGGCCCACTGGGCGGGGCCCCTTTGGGGGTACCACCTGGGACAAAGCGGCCTCTGTGCGTGCGTGATGTGCGTCATGCGTGTGTGATGTGTGATGTGTGATGTGTGATGTGTGATGTGTGATGTGTCTTCGAAAGAACCCGCAAGGGAAATCCAATTCCCAAAAGGAGTTTCCTCCACAAATGGAGGCTTTTGCGGTTCCATGTTGATCTGTAGGGGGGTAAAAGTAAGCTTCCCCTATCAGGTCGTCGGAATCGGCGCGCCTCTTCTTTCGGGAATGGTGGGAGCAAATGGTCAAGACATAAGGTCAAACACAGACTAGTGTAAACCAGGCGCCCTCAAAAACACACCCTGACTGGTGTTTTGGGATTGCAGCCACAAAGACAGAGGCAGTTCAGGCCTCGGCACACAGCTTGTTTGCTTGGACGGGTGTGCGGTGCTGATTTGCAGTTCAAGTAGCACACAACTCTTGGATTGGGGGCTCTTATTTTACAGCCCCTCTTCAAACACAAAGAGAACCACTCAGACCGCATGTGCTTTGTGTTGCCCTGCACCCCCCGCCAAGAGAACCAACATGACAAACAGGGTGCCACACATGCTGAGGCGCAACGGTTTCCGCATTTCGGGCATGTCTTGTTTGAGGGCACCGTGTTGTTTGAACAGGAAGCCACAATCAGCACGAAAATATCCGCCAACAAAACACAACAGCTTGGGGCGGGCAAGATTTGCAAACCCAAACACCCATTTGCAGCCCCCCCCCCCGAAACCTCCTCCCGCGGGCGAGTTGCAAGCCGCCGGAAACCATTTCCATCCCCGGCCTATGGCGATGTCCACGATGCCGGGCGGTCCATGCCTGGGATCAATCCGATGGCCCAAGGACTTGCGCGCGCTCGAATGGTTTACTCCATGTGTAGTGGGAACTTCACCCCCCCCCCAAAACAAAAAAGCCTCAGTGCTTGGGGGTTGCTCCAGTCTTGGGTGGGAACGCACCAAAAGCATGAAGGCTAAAGGGTGCCGATCCGATCCAAAGAGTAGGTTCCCATTTCAGCACAGAGTCATGTTGCGGGGCGTAATTCCCACATTTCGCGACCCCGGCTGACAAAGTGAAAAAGAAACCCGTGCGGGGCTTGGCTTCATTTCTAGCCACCAACAAAAAGCGAACAAGCGGGCCACTGGGCAACTGCGATGACATCAAGCCAAACACCTGCGTCTACCTGCAACTATCAGGGCCCCTTACAGGATGCATTTGAGACGGTCAGAAAAACCAATCCTATAGCTGATCTAAAGGATTCCCTGGTAAAGCAAGTGGTCTTTGGCTGCCTCCTTTGAGGAGTCCTGTTCCTTGCCACGAGCGAGCCAAAGACAAAGGATTCATCTTCCTTGAAGCCCTGTGTCTCGGGAACCAAACACGGGGATGCACCGCGGCGCGAAGAACTCGGCACCAACACCGAAGCAGGACGCAGCAAATTTATCGCACTGGCCCAAAGCGGATCAGCCTGCAGAAGGTCATCTGCACCTCTGCTGGGACACATGGGGCAGGCAGCCACCCCCGCTATGCGAGCAAGTGCCGTGGCAGGCGCATCCCTCGCATGTCAGCAAGCAAGCAACACCTATGACTGCATCACGCGCAGGCCGCACTGTCTGAGCAAATGTGTCATGTGTATAAGCTGGCCAAGAGACCCCACAGAGTGCACCCAGCAAAGTGTGGAAGACCTGCTCCCATGAAACCTCAGCAGCAGCTAAACCTCCGGAGAAGTGGATCACGACATCTCACAGCATTTGCGCCCAGCGTCACCCAACGGCAAGGCCACGCACGCAACCCGCCCGGAGCCGAGGTCACAAGGGCTTGGCTGGGCAAGCCGGCGAATGCCATGGGAAAATCGGCAAAACCCCAGAAACTTGCGAATCCCTTTGGGGACCTTCACGGGGTCGCTCAGTTTCACCAGCAAACCTGAAGGCATTTCCAGATATGGATTTGGGAGGTATGGATGCTTATATGCCACAAAAAAAACACCTTGCATTGTACTAATAATGCTATATACCCCTGATACAAGTGGAATTTGCCACCTCCATACCTCCAACATCCATATAGAACTTCCTGGAACATAGGTGAGCTCTTTCATTTTCATCCCGACACAGCCCGCCTCGCACCAAAGGATTCGGGACCCCCAGGCCCCGCGCATTTTCATCTCCACCTCAAGGGAGTCGTCGAATCCTGTGGCAAGGACCAGTCCGTAACAGAGCGATTCAACCCCTTCAAATCAAAGACTGTTTCAACCAGATTAGCTTAAATAGCACCCTTGCGGCATGGCGGCTTGCCCTTGGCGGGCTGCAAAAAATGACTTCTGCCCCAAGCCTTGCGGCAATGCTGGCCCCAACCTGCCAGAAGCTGTCCCTGACCCCAGGGAACTTTGCCCAGATCGCTTCGCCTACATGCGGCACATGGAACACGGTGAAAATTTGCGGTTGCACTGGTTTCTCTTCTGCCGAGGGGCTCAACACTTTGACAAGCCCCACGTGTCCGTCTGCAAGCTCTCTGGCAGGGAAGGCTTGGCCGATGACTTGTAAGCGCTGGGTATGTCCTAAAAAAAAGGCCCCCCAACCTGGAGGTTTGCCCTTCAGTTTGCCCTTTAGAAGGTGCGCCCACAAAAGACAGCCCCACATGCTGCCAACAGTCTCCTTAGTCTCCTTTCTGAAACCACAGCACACGCTGATCAATCAGGATTCCGCGCAGCAAACTGACTCGCAAACACAATCGAAATCCAAAAAAAGAATAGGGGGGCTCAGGCGCATGAAAGGGGCTCCTCCAAACTGAGTCCTTTTTTAACAAAACAAAGAAGGAAGGAGCAAACCAATCCACTTCAGCTTGGGAGCTGGGCCACCCTGCGACGGCGCGCCCTCTCATGGATCCCGGTCCTGCAGCATTTGGAGTTGCCTGCGCGGGCTGGGCTGACACCATGCGCAATATCTCCTTTCAATTCTCTCAGGATGCTCAGCACATCTGGGCAAACTATGACTCAGCCGAAAAATAGAAACCCCCGAGGGACATTGGGTAAGCTCCGTGCTTGCCTCCAGGGGCTTTAGCCTACATGCCGAGGAATCATAAGAGGGCAAGCACAGGCATGCGGCATGCAGGTGCCTCGTTTTCTTGAAGGTTGGTCCCCCCAAGAATGGTGGTTCTCCTTTTGGTTTTCCAACAAATAGGGACCCGTCAAGATAGAGAAACAAATACCTGGGTGGCTAAAAGGTCATGGCCAAAAAGTTATAACTCTTTGCAGGTCCTAGTAGTGGGACATACTCAACTATTTGGCCAACAGTTGAATATTCAAGGAGACATCAGGCTTTCCAAAGCAAATGTAGCTAGGTGACCCGTACCCACCCAAAGCGACACGAGATCAGAGTGTTCATTGGAAATTCGGACGCAGTGGTCCTGGTGTGTTCCAGACATGCCTTGGATGCGCACCTTCCTAACTACTGTTGACCCCTGTTGATACATCGGTTTTGTTGATCGGGGTGTGCCCTCCAAGGTGATGAATCACCAAAAGGGGACACTGCTCGTCAATCAGGGGCTTCATTCATCCGCGGTACCTGGGCTGCTGCCCTCGGCCCGAAACTGCATTCTGCTGTTTTGGCTGATTAGCACATACAGCGCGGAAGCCCGGGTCTGCGTGCTAGGCGCACGGCCCAGTCATCCGAGGGGCAGCTGATTCCGCTTGCGGTGCTACCCTGAGCGGGGAGGTGTGTGGGGTTGGGGTGCTCTGGTGCCTTTGCATCTTTCCCGGCAAGGAGGAATGCGAAACACAAATGCAATCCCAGGAGGCACCCATCTTGAAGTGCTTTGGCATGAAACGCGCTATCGACTGTATAGCTGTTGAAAAGCTGCTTGCATTCTGCTACTTCTGTGACATCTAGTGGAAGCAATGCCGCTTCCAGTGAGGGCGACTGGGCAACTGGGTCCAACAACGCCTTTCACTAGCGCCCCCAAACCTGAAGCAAGGGATCAGTCGTAAAGGTGCAGAGGTAGATTTGCATTGGCTGGCTGCACATCCATGGCGTGCAACCAAAACCAGTTTCTTTCCTTGAGTCTATTCTGAGTAAGCTTGAAGTCAGCGAATCTGGGCGAGAGCTCTTAGCTCCAAATGCTACATCCGCCCCCTTCCGCGAAAATATGTTTGCGCCTTTGGACAGGGCCCCTCCGGAGTCCTAGGTCAACTTCGGAGTGCAAACCGAAAGCTAGACGGTGTTTGCCACTTGCAACTGGGAGACCCAGCCCAGAAATTATAGGTATGTACGAACTTCATTTGGGGACCCTGCGGACATCATACATGGGGATTGATGTCCTACCAGGCAAAAGGGTGTTCCTTAACACTTCTAGCCAAGTAACGCTTTTTCTGTCTCGGGCACTGTTGGGGGGTCAAACGGCAGAACCTGCAGAAGGCGTCATGATGCCCTCGAAACATCTGCGTGTCATTCTCACGTATTGGGTGTTGGGCTTATGTGCCATCCTAATGTAAATGACATGCCTGACATGCCCTTGACCCCCAACCCCCCAAAATGGAAAATGGGTGGTTGCCCCCGTGGCTGCCTCTTACAACCAACCCAAAAAAAAGTGTATATACCCTCCAAAACGGCACCCTCCCGCGTTGCCTGAAGGAGAGTAACATCCCCAAATGGCCCCCGCTTCATCCCGATTCCCCGCAACTCCGGCGAGCGCGCCGAGAAGGAGAGCCGGCGCGGCTTCAACGGCCTGACGTTTTGGGCGCGGTGTCGCGCGCGAGGGGGAACAACTTCTTTGCTTTGTGAAAGCTGGCAGCTCTATAGGAAGCTAGAAATAGCACCACGACAAAATGAATGTCACAATAGACTCCAGCAGCTGTTTTCTGGTCTGCCACACATGTCAAACACAGGGAAGCCACACTTGCTGTTGTTTGTTTTGCAGGGGGGGTCAGCTATTTGGAAACGACCCCCCTTGACAAGAGCGTGCCCTTTACCCGTCTGAGGGAGCGCGCCTGGCAATGAGCATCGTCTCCGGGCCTCGATTGCCAGACACCCAAGCCCCACCAAAATACTGGCGGGTTAAGAGCCTGGCCAAACAAGGCCAAACATGAGAACCCCCAAAGACCCTCAAAACGTTTCGCGTTAATACGCCTTCCATGAAAAAGCAGCCTTGCCAAGTAGCTTGGCGGTGTGGGTGGGGTCGTGCTCTCCTCTGACAAGTCATCCTGCCAGGGGCCAACGGCCGCGTTGGCCGCAAAGTTGACACATTCCTGGAACAGTGCAGTAAAAACGTTGTACACTATCTCTTGTGGTGAGGGCTTAGATGTTACATGCCCGGCTCTTTTCCAAGGCTGGTTGGAAGGTACTCCATTGGAGGGGTCATGAGTCACGAGCCTTAGGGTGACAAACGTTCCATGCCGCTGCGCTCGAGTGAGAGGCATCTGGCGCTGACATCACATCCAACTGGATGCTGATAGGTAGGGTCGGGGTATCCCTACAATCACAGCACATGAAGGCAAACAAATCAAACTAAGCCGCCGGTTGTATTGGAACAACGCTTCCCGTGAATGTCGCTGTTTCGTCCTTGCCGTTCGAAAGCGCTCAAAGAAAAATGGCTCGTTGACGCCTGCAACCACCCTTGAGGGCACAATTTGAGGACCTGAAATCCCACCTTCAAGCACCCTACAACATGTGCTCTACAAGGGGCCCCAATTCTAAGAAGAGTTCTGCAAAACCGCTACCCCGATATAGAATACTTAATGCATACAACTATATGATCACCATATGAAGACTATATTTTCAGATTTCCCTTGGGTCCCGGTCCGCAACTTTCTAAATGGTGGCTGAAAGGCCACCAGCGCCAAAGGAGTACTTGAGAATCTCTGAACATGTTGCGCGAAAGTAGATAAGCAATCTCCCATTTCGCTTCAGTCATCCCCTTCAAGGGTGTCTTCCTTTGGCAGCTCAAAAGGAAGAAAGGGCACCACTGAGGCGACGCGGCGACTGTTGGGTGTCTGGTGCAGGGTTGGCTTCAAGGGTTGAGGGAGGGTTTAGGGTCGAAGAGAAAACCCATGCCGCAAATCGCACAATCGCGAAGCGCCTTCTTCGGCCTGGTCGCCGAAGCCATTGCTGCTAACCTGCGCCAAACAAGGCGTTCCATTGGTCAAACGGAGTGCGTTCAACAGCCACCTTCACGGCTGATTTAGAGCTCTTTATGCAGGCACCAGGGATATGAGTAGTAGCAGGTTCAAATGAAGCCTTGTTCAATGTAACTAGTACTCCACATTGCCAGTGGTGATGAGATGATACTTGGGAACCAATAAACAGGAAACTGCAGAACTAAAGGCTTGAGCGCCCATGGGCGCAGCCCTAGTGAATCAAAACCACGCACGCCATGATATCGCATGACATGTCTGGCACGGGGCATGATGCGGTGGAATTGTTCGTTGGCCTCATTGGCCTGGCATTTCCTGTGTGTATGCGTCATGAAGTGGCGTGGTGTCAAACACTGGCAACTGACAACACGACGGGGTGAGCCGCAACCATGAAGAACATCCCAACATTGGCAACATCAACCTGGCAAAAAGGCACAGAACGAACATAGGAGTGTAGCTGCTTGCCAGGTGTTGACATGTGAAACATTCGGGGTGCTCCTGGGGCAAGGGGGAACAACTTGACCCCTGCTAAGGAGACCAATGCAGAATTGGACCAAACCAATGTGCTAATGCCAACCTTGGACAAAATTGGAGGACCGTATCGTATATTTGTCGCTCCCCTTGTTTCCGGGACCCGGGAATAAAGCACACCAGGATTCCTTCGCCAGTTGAAATGGTCGACACTACCCCTGTGAGCTCTGGGTATGGATTCACGCCTGCGTAAGAGCTCGCCACGATACAGGATCGCTTGAGCACTGATAGGGCGAAAAAGGCAAACGCGTGGCACAACGCCGCTTTGGGAGCTTCAGGCGAGATGGCAAGCTCTGCGAGCCCTAAATGCGAAATGGAATGAAGGCCCTACTGTCTTGTCGCCGTACACCCGACGAAATCGCAATCCCGAACCTTATGGCTTAAAATAACTTGGCTCATGCACCAAGCTCCTCAAACATGGACATGCTCGTAGGCACCCTACTCATCGACGAGCGCATGGGACTCAACATCGGCACATTCTGTTGATGTGTGAATGGGAGCAATTCAATCGTCGAATTGTCCCCGACTCAACTGGCTCTCGGTTTCTCTGCCAGCCTGAAAGCACAACCCAAGGCCCCTTTCAAACAAACGCCGCAAAATCTTCAAAACCACAAGCCGAAAGCACATGACGACTGCAACGAACCGCTTTTTCGGCCACTTTCTCGAGTCGCGTCCTGCGTGCGTCGAGAGAACTACCGACCACTCCTAATTGCACGTTGTGCTGCGGTAGTAGTTCTTCTCTGTCCGCCCATGACGTACAACATGGCAGCGGCAGCACAGCTGGCAGTGTCGAATGCACATCGTACATTTGTACTGCCAGCTCTGCTTCGGCTTGTCGACACACAGCGCCTTGGTTATTGCTGAACTCTAAAATCCCTTGAATCCCAAAAAGGGTCACCAAAATCAAACCATTTATCTAAAATGAAGAATCTATGTTGAGAGATGCTAAAGAACTGAAATTTGGAGAAAGTACTTTTGCTACATCTATCTAGTCAAATATGTTCTACCATCCCTTAAGTCGAGGACAAGGTAAAATGCAAAACCTTCAGCCCATTGTTCCGCATTTGTTTACACTAAAACATGAAGGGGTACCACATGTAAATTCTACCAACTTGTTTCCACCATAATTTTAATGGGCGAAGAGCTAAGCAGCCAGATGCCACATGCATGTGTGTGTGTGTGTGTCTGTGGGTGTGTGTGTCTTAAAACTCGGGGCCCGCAAGCACAAAGACGGAAAACGATTCTCCCCTCCCAGGAAGAAACAAGTACCTCCCAACAATACGCACACACACACACACACACGCCCACACGCGCGGCCCTCCCGCCCTCCACGCCTTCCCGTGCCTGCCCGCACCCACGCACGCACGCACGCGCGCGCGCACAGACACAGAAGATTTGCTCCATTTCGGGAGAAGGTTTGATAATGGCCACGGTTTCTGCATTGGGCCAAGCTTAAACAGGCAAACTAGATTGCCTATCGCATTTTCAGGGGCCGCTCTCTCAAATAGAAGTGGTTTTTGGGCTGATGCCGTGCAGCAAGGAGGCGGTTGGCTTGGCTGCATGCCTCTTAGGTGCAAGTTGCAGGTGCGCCTGAGTGATCAGCTGAGGCTTTCCATGCATCCGGGCAGCTTTGTTGGATGGGATTCCCGGATGCATGTCCGAGCCCCTGCTTTGTGATGAAAACTTTCATTCCTTTTATTCTTGCGGCAAAAGGCACCTTTGCCATCAGGTGTGACGCGCGCAAACGCATGGACCCAGCTCCCCATGTCGACCCAGGCGCCCGATCGAAGGCGGCATTCCGGATGTCTTTGTCGCCCCAGACGTTCTCGGTCAAACACATTGGCTCCGGGTTTGAGGCTCCGCGCTCCACGGGGCTATTGCTGATCATCTCCATGATCTCCTTGCGCGCTACCTCCTACCTCTTTCTTGCGTCCAGATGTGGAACTCCCCCCACCCAAATGAAAGGCGCTCGCTCATTGCGGCTTCGACTTGCAAGCTGAAACTAGGGTACCCTCAAACAAAACATGCGCCCATGTATAAAAACAAGTCATTGTGTTTAAACAACCGTTGTCTGCAATTTCGAACCACGTTAAAAGCAATCATTGTTTCAACCACCATGGCTAAAACAGCCTCATGGTGTTCCCACTCCTGGGATGGCCGCGTGTCTTTGATCACCTTCTTCAGCATGGCCAGGGCACTACTGCGGCGGAAAAACCACACCCTCCCCAAGGGTTCCTGAAAGGATACATTGATCTAAAAAAGGGTTCCCCATTCTTTTCAGCCATCGTTCTTTTGAAAAACCGATCGCCATTTCCCTAAGGTTTTGGGTGGTTTTCTAGAAAAGATTCGGATCCGTGGAAAGAATGGAAATGGAAGTTACCCCAAGGATTGACATCCCAAGTCCTCCATTAAGAAGGGGACAATGGCGACTCTCCCCAAAGACGCATCAGACGGGCTAGTAGGTGCGCATTAGAGGAGCATGTGAGGAGCAGTAAAGGATCCCTTTGAGAAGCACGAGGTCAAAACGGAGCGCATACCCAATCCTAGTTGGAGATGAGCAGAATCCGCGAATTCCATACAATCCCTCACTTCTGAAATCCATCCTGTCTCTAGAACAGAAGATGCAAGCCCAACGTCACCGCAAGCATTTTTCATCCCAGATGTATTGCAGAACCACTACAAGAACACGGTGCCTTAACCGCAAAGGGGAATAGCTGCAAGGCTTTGGGGCCTCATGCAATCCATCATGATCCACCACCCTTCGGCGCAGTGACGTGCTTACACCTGAAATTCGTAAGCACTTCGGCGACAATAGCGGCGCTCCGTCCCGTGCTCCTTGAGCGGAAACGTGCTCCTGGAGGGGCTCACATGCTTACGCCTGGAAGTCGCAAGCGCTTCGGCCCACTCAGCCAAAGAGATCACGCTCCCTGCCCGAATGGGGTGGGGCGCTTACGACTTTCAAAAGCGCAAACCGCAAACCGCTCCGCAATCGCAGGCAGGTTTCTGCGATCCCGAACCAAAGGAGCTCGCCTGAGATTGCCGTCAGCTGATGCGCACGGTTCCGCGCATCTAACATACATGTTCGTTCCATCATGTATTCAGTGGCCAGAAATGCACGTGGAGAACGCTTTCCCAAGAACAGAGAGAGTGGTCAAAAGGTGGCGCAGATTGCCTGGTCTGAAGGCATCCCTGCCGGCAACGTTGCACCAGGTTCCATGCTTTGCCGGGATTCTGATCATGTCATGAATGTCGCGTTGGGCTGTTGATCTGTTTGAACTCTTGGTTAAAAACCAAAGGGCTCAATGTCATGGGCTCAACAAGCGTTTCACGGTTAGAGGCGATATAATTCCGTTCTTTCACAACGTGCTCTTGCGAGCGGCACCAACTCTTGCACACAAGTTGAACAAGCAAGAAGGTCTGCGGTTTCAACTTGTACTTGGAAATGTGTGTTTTGGCCCTATATAGGCGAAAGCATAATTACTTTTCGTTGCCCCCTTTTGAATTTCGCATTTTAAAGTGGGAAGCAAGCCACCATGGTTGACGCCGGAACACGGCCATCTACACGCCATGTACCATGCAAATGGACCCTATTGCCCTTGCGCACATAAGGACCGACCTCCAGCGGCCCCAAAAAGAAGACTGATTTCAGCTTGGTTCAAGGGGCTGCGTTTTGAGTGTCTCCTTTTGGGGGACCCCTGCGATTGGTCTGCCCGAACCCAACCTGCGACTTACGGTGCCTCAGGCTGACCCGGGTGCTGGGGTCAGGATCCAGCATTGCCATAATCAGGTGATCGAGATCGTCTCAGTGAGGCGTGGGTCCAGGACCAAGAGTGGGCCAAAAAAATCGTCAGGCTCCCTCAAGTAGGTACCCTCTTCTTACAGGCTTCTTATTGGGCTCTTTTTAGGTTGGGTAGTCTGGGAAGGGGTAACGAACGAGCTTGGGGCCCCTGAAAACCCGAGATGGTAGAAAAAGGGCCACTCATTTGAGTGGGGAGATTACCCAACAAAGAGGGAAGGAAGCTGAGCAACTAGGCGCTGCCACCTGATAAACGATCGGCCCAAAGTTGCATGGCAACTTGCAAATTCAGCAATTGAACCTCCCCGAAGGCACGTGAAGCATATCACTTCTGAAAGGCCTTCTTAGTAGGTTCCACGTGTTTTGCTCTGATTGCTTCACAAGGACCAGCGCTGCCCCCACGCAAACATGCGCAAACGAGTTACGAGCTCCCTTCCCCCGCTTTGCATGGCGTGGGCGATCCCAACTACGTGACAGGTACCCTTCTGATGTTTTCGCTTGAGGCGGCAATGTGTCAGCAAAGAAGACCACATTTGCATGTCATACGTGATTTCAACAACAACGACAACAGCATGGATACACATGCAATCACTCAAGTGTCCTTAGAACACAACTTTCCTCTCGGCTTTCTGGCCAGTGCCGATTTAGGGGAAAACTAACCAAAATTTGGGGGTTCCTTTTAGTCAAACAGCCAAGAAGAATTCTTCAAAACCCGTGGTTGCCCTTCCCCCTTAAAAGCAACCAGACGACAACAAGGGATTCCGTAGAAAAGCCGCATCTCCCGCTCTGCCAAAAGGGCACGGGGAGGACGTGGAATGTTGGAGTCGTCATAGGGGTTGTACGTCTTGGCCAGGGAGCCGTCCTGCGAACACCGAGGGCCGAGGGCTGTCATCTTGCGGTGGAGTGGTGGGGTGGGGTGGGGTGGGGTGGGGTGGGGTGGGGTGGGGTGGGGTGGGGTGGGGTGGGGTGGGGGGGGGGGGGGGCGATGTTAAAGAATCCGTCAAGAGTATACCAGATAATCTAAAAAAGGAAGACTCTTGAAATCCTGACCAAACAAGCATGGAGACAACGTGTGGATAGATGGAGGGAATAATATCCATTATTAGCACCAAAGAGTGCACAAAGTTTATCTCCTCATTAAGTCATAACAGAAAGTAGTAATCAAGCTAAGAATGCATTTTCTACAACAGATGTAAGCTGGGGGGGCGGTGGGGGTGGACCCTCCCCCCCAACAAAAATAAAGGAGAAGAACAAGAAGAAGAAGAAAAATAAGAAGATTATGATGAAGAATGGTCGTTGCTTTGCGGTGTTCTTGCATCTTCCAACCCCCAAAAAGATCCCTTCCAAAAGTGGCATCCGCTTTTCGCCATCTGGTGACCCTGGTGAGTTTCCTTGGCCCCGCAAGAATGGACTCGACCCATGGTGCGGAGGAGGACACGTCTGTCTTCCATTTGGATAACTCGAGCCATTGTCTTTCTTTTGCTGAGGTACTCCATTTTTGTGTGGCTAAAAAGCTCAAAGGAACACCACAATTGTGTAGGCCTCCCCCCCCCCAAAAAAAAAGAAAAGAAACACACAACTACACACACGCATCCAAATGGGCCGTAACCCCAACCAGCCCACCGGCACGGAGTCGCGTGCTTCGTTTGAGGGTCCCTTCCTTCCACTTTGAACCAGCCGGCCAGCCGAGGGCTTCAATACGAAGCTTTGGCATGTCAAGCCCACTTTGCGAGGTGAACGGAATTGGATCAACTGGGCTTCAAGCAAGTCACATGTAACTCCATGCGGAATTTGGGGGAAGTCAAATCCCTTCGGACGCTGATGTTGCATCGCCTTTGAAGAAGGCCCGCAAAGACCTGGTTGACGTTGGAAGGGGAGCAAACAAAAAATAGCAGTTAAGTGGGGATTTCCCATTAAACCACAAAAATGTAAAATGTTTCCCAACAACAACCATGAAGAGGGTGATAATGTTCGGTTAACACCTTCCCCCCTCCCCGAATTCGTGGCCAAAGTGATCGAGCACCGTGGCGCACAAGCGACTCCCGGCAACTTTGGTGAAGAAGCAAACAATCACCTTCTCTTCTTGGCGGTTTGGAGCCCTGTGGTTTCGAGGTTAGGGGTGGTGTCCAGTCTTTTCCTCTATAAGAACGGGCATTCAACTCCAATCCAAAACCAATCGCAGGCAATGCGGTACCCCCCCCTATAATAAACTTCCCCCACCCTCCCCCAGAAGTAAAACTACCTTGGAGGACTTTTTCTCCTAGGCTGCTTCAGATTGGGTTGCTTAGGATTTGCAAAGAAAGTGTTCACAGTGATTTTTTTGAGTAGGGAATGCGCCCGTTCGATTTGCAAAGGTGTGTTCCAAATAGCGGAGGGAACCTAACGGAGACCTTAATAATGAAAAACTATTCCGCAAGGCAACCCATTCGCAAAGCGCCGAGAATACAACTTTGAGTACGACCTTATGAAGGGTAACGAATGGAGACCCTACTAATACAAACCTCTCCCGCTCAGGTGGCGCCTGATAAGCACATCTGGGGAGCTTGGCTGAGCGGTTTCCAGATTTAGTATTGGCTGATTTAAAATGTGCATTGCAAATTTTGGGGTCAGCTGGAGAGGTTTTTGTTTTTTGGGGGGTCCGTTTATAGGAAGAAGGGATTCATCGGAAAGAAGTGGCTTGACAACATACGTTACCATTTTGATTGTCGCCTACATGTTTCCAGATTCCGCCCACCGTCCGGTCAGCTTGGAGCTGGCCGCGCAAACCCTGCGAGAGCAGGGAGTTCGGTCCTTGTCGTTCTTGAAGGGCGGAGGAGTGGAATAGATCAGGCGGTACAGCGTAGCGCCCAAGGACCACCTGAAGAGTTTTCAAGGCACCCCCTTCATGGAGGCTCCCAGCATGGGCCCGAAAGGAGGCTTCACTAGGCAACCAAGAAAAGTACAAACCAGATGCAGCTGGTTACCCATTGCGTATGTGTGCCTTGAAACGAATCAAACCTTCGGCAAAAATGACGATTTGCAATGCTCAAAGCCGATTGGTCCAACACGGTTGCTTCCGGCTCGCACCTGCTTGCTGTCGTCCCAGGACTAGCATAAACCCCAGGTCAAAAAAAAGGGGTCGTGTCCTTCCTCCTGCTTGGCTCATTCCTCGACATGCTTTGCGCGCCGGGCTGAACAAGACCCTTTGGTAACTGCTAGGTTCTCAGTGCCTTGGGGAACATAACTCAACTACGCCAAGGTGGGTACAAAGGCAAAAACACACCTAAGGTCCCGCATACTCCACAGGGACATACCCCATAACCAGTGATTCTACATGGCTACCAAAAGCAAGCTGGCGCAGTTCCGAATAGAGCCCGCATAGACAGTCAAACGACCGGAATCCCCATGAAGCTTGCTGGGATTTCGAATAGTGCTTCAGCCACAAGACCTGGCGAACTAAACATTGGCTCTTGTATCCTGCCCTTGTAGCAAACATAGACAAGATTGGTAATGAACATCGGAACGCACTGCAACCAGTGGAGCCAATATCTTGTACTTAAACTGCATAAATGCAACAAGGGCACCTACTGTGGATGGACAAAGTCCACTTCTCACCATTTGGGAGTTGGGAGGGGTAAATGCTGTAAGCAAATGTTGGCAAACCGCCTGATGTTGGCAAACCTCCTGGCCGGTGTGTGTGTGTGTGTTTTACCAATTGCCATGCCACAACTGCTTTTTCCGATGTTCAAAATCCGCTTGGTACTGCCCAAAAAGCAGTGGTTGGGGGGTGCTGGCAGCGTCTGCATGTTTTTTTGGGCAAGACATCCAAAACCTGAAATATGGGATCCCCCAAGTACCGGACCTGTACTGTTTTTTGCTCAAACCCCCCCCCACCCCGCCCTCAACCCTTCGCACACCCCCAACCCGCAACTTTCACCCCACCCCTAACAGCATGCATCTGCATTTTTTACTATATGTCCAAAGCTGGGATAAGAATTAGACCCAAGGATCTTTTTACCATGGCCTTCGCAGGTTGCTAAACGAATCTGCGGATTCGAAGTCAAAGGCGCACATCGATGCTGGGATTGCCGCACTCGGATTCGCAGGGGTTCAGCTCCGGCGCCAAATACCCGGGGGTGCCCACGGCTCGCTGCTCGCCCTCGTTCCGTCCGAAGGAATGTCCAGCATCCGGGACCCCCCAGCGCTCCCCCAGAACTGCCCTCTCTCTCTCTCTTCTCTCTCTCTTCTCTCTCTCTTCTCTCTCTTCTCTCTCTCTCTCTTTTTCCCCATGTCCCAAATCTGGAAGTATCCAAAGCACTTTCGGGTCCCTGGAAAGTCGAACCTGGCACTCCCAAAGTGAAGGATCTCTGACCCCATGGGCCGAAGGTGAAGTCAGAGTTTGGGCCACGAATTGGATAGGATTCGAACCAAAAGGGAACCATCCCGAAGGAAAGCTGGGGGTGTTCTGAATCTTACCCAGTCCTTTGGCCGGCCATGGCCCCTTCTTCACCCAGCCTTCCTAGTTTTGGACCATAGCGCACTACGAACCAATTGGTCTCAAAGTCAAAGCATGCGGCTTTCCCGCTCAAAACTCTGCCGCGAAAGTGTCAACTTTCTGGCCAAAGTGAGCTAAACGTGTCATTTGCAAGTTGCGAATTCCTGCTACATACTGGATCTAGGATACATTTGTACGTGAATCCATGTCTGTGCGATGTTGTATGTGTTCACTGTCCAGCCCTCAGCCCCCCCTCCCCATAGACATTGATATGAGTGTGCATGTGTGTCAAAATAGAGGGGTCCAACAAAGTGGCTTCCTTCTGGTTCCCATTTATATAGCCCGCCTCAGAAATGGCACCCTCAACCCCCCCCCCTTGGTTTCCCTCGCCGTGTGCGCAAAACTTGGACTTATCGCACCATCTGATCGTGGCAAGGCGTAAATCCAGAAACTTGGCTTTTCGGCCGCTAGTGGGCAAATCGGAAAATGAAGAGAAGCCAGAGCAAAAAGGGCAAGGTTGACTAAACACGGTTGCCGAAAAGAGAAATCGAAAGCCCACAAAGCCGCTTCGCTTTGTACAGCTGGCAATGGTTTGGGCAACCTGAATGGAACTAAGAAATGGGCTGGATGCGAAACAAGACAGAGTCTTTTGACAGCGACCGGAAAGCGTTTCTCAGCCGTACGGGCTTTTGGACAAAGGTATAAAAAATCCGAGCCTGTGGGTCATGGTGCCCCTCGGGGGCCTTCGCCCAAAGGAAAGTAGTCTTCCAGTACCCTCCTGTTGCATGTTTTGGCGGAAGGAAACAAATTTGGATATAAATTGTGATTGGGCCCTTTGAGGTGGTTCCAACTCTCACACTGCATAGCCATATGCGGGCTTCTCTCAAAACAAGAGGAAACATTAAAGGTTGGCTTCAGTAAGCTACCCTGAAAACGGATGCACGCAAACCCCGCGTTTACCCACATTTACCCTCCCACCAATTCACAAGGAACCTGACAGGGAAAATTATCTTGCAGGACCCCCTGTCACTTTCCACGTTTGTGGGTGCCCACCTTTTCAGGTTGGTCTGAAGGGCAACCTTTCAGGTTCCCCCTGTCAGCTTCCATGTCATGTGAATTGGCGGGAGTGGAAATTTGGGTAAAGGTGGGTTTGCTTGCACCCCCAAAAGAAAACCGCCAAAGTCCCAAAGTCCCAAAGTCCCCCCAAAGGAAAACCGCCTTGGTTCGAAGGGCAACCCCAGACGCCTTGGGGCCTGCGAGGCCCAGGTCGATCAAGGTGGCCCAGCACTTCCCCCTCAGCCGGCCTCATGGGGCATGGGAGACCGGGGGGGGGGGGTCTAGTAGTCCATTGAGGAGAAACGAAGAAAAAACCTCCTCCCGTTGAAGTGGAACTTTAAAAAAGCATCAGTGGAGGAATCTCCTTTTGGGGGGAGCCTGATTAAAATGGGCTTCATGCTTGTTAAATTGGAAGAATAGGCAAATAGGCACCTACAAATTGCCGGTTTCGCCGTAACGACGTGTCGCATCCCAACACCAAGGTTGCTAGAACTTGCAACCGTTGGGGATGGGTTTCATGTTCTATGGCGCCCACGTTTTGCTTTTGATCTTTGTCTTGTTCGGAAAATGCAACTCCTGTTGACCCGCACCCGGGGTGCACGTTACGTAGGTGCCTCTTGCAAGGCAGCTTTTCAAAAATACTCAGAACACACAACCATTTGCGGGCTATTTCAAGAGGCCGGTCGCAAAAAGCGACCGCAGTGTTTTATAAGGACGCCTTGCGGATTGAAATCAAAGCTGTCTTTAGGGGTGGAAACTCGCTGGAAAAAAGGGGGGGAACCCGCTGGAAAAGGAGCGGAACCCGCTGAAAAGGGGTTGGAACCTGCACCAACTCGGTTGGATTCAGTGCTCTGCGATCCCTTGAAATTTCAGGTGCCTAGCCCAAATTCACAGCTGAGATTGAGGGTCTTGTAACATGTGCCAGGCATGAGGCGTCCACTCAACGCGCATGCGACCTGATCCCTAGAAGAAAGGGTGAACGACATGGTGGACTCCCTAAATATTGCAAGTCAGGGAACCTCGAATATACCGAAATGTTGTGTTTGTGGTTGAGCATAGGTGGGGATGTCGCAACCCTCGCTGTGCGAGGTTGCAATGCTCAGTTGCTTCCAACCCGGGGTTTTGGACGTGGGAGAAAACAAGGCCCATTCCGCTTGGCCTCCCTGCAAAGTGCAACATGGAACTGCAAAAAGGGGTTCCCAAACAGAAGCTTCCTCTTGCTGGTCGGCTAATGAGAAGTATCCCTACGAACCATCCAACTGGTGGTTTCCTGGGGAATCCCCAGGTTCATTCCCACAGTCCCTGCTTGCATCAAGCCTACATAGCATGTTCTGTTCTGTCTCAAGAGATATCTCTTGCCATCCGCCTTCACTGCAGCTGACCATGATGTTCTCTGGCTTGATGTCCCTGTGCATGAACCTGAGCAACGCTTCACAAGCTGCAGACGGATCCCACCTGCCCAAGTGAACATGTTTGCTGGCTGAAAGGGAAAATGGAGGACACACAAAAGGCAGCCAGCAGCGACAAAAGCAATAGACGACTCCTTGTCAGGGGGAAACCGCCCCAGGAGTAATTTCGAGCAGCCCTCAAGATAACCGTCAAAGACCTGTTCCTAGCACCCCCCCCAAAAAAAAAAACGACACACAAAAATCAAATTTGGCTTTGAGCCTTTCCAAAGAACATCATCTCTTTGTTTTGGGCGGTGGCCTCTATGTTTGAGTCGGCTTCGGGTTTTCGGCTCCGGAAATGACCCACCGGGCCCCGGGCCCCTTGCCGTGGAGCGCCTGGGTGCCCTGGAGCGCCTGGTAGAACAATGCGAGCACGAAGGCCTTGCTAAACCTCAGGTCGCTTGGGTCGGTCGCTTGCCTCACGCCATGCCCCCCCCCAAAAAAAAAACAAAAAACAAAAAACGCCCGGAGAAGCCTCTTTCCGCAGAAAAAAAAGGCCGCGGTCTCCAAAGTTCCAAAAGCGAAAAACTCCAAGAACTCGGTGAGTTGATCAATATGGAGGGGGGAAACTGTTCAGCGGGAAACTCAGATCTGGTTCGTGGTTTTCCCTCTCGGACCTGTGGATCTACCCCCCATAAGTTTATCTCATGGAGGAACTCTCAACAATGAAAGGGAGGGGGAACCCGCAAACTGGGAGACCCTCAAAACGTGGCTAAACAAGGCGGCTACCACGCAAGAAGACACACATGAGCGCCCAGAAAGAACTCCATGAGGTTGGGGAGCTGTGGTCAGAGCCACGGCTCCAGACATGGAAAGCTGGACGGGAAAAGCAAGGGTGTGCTTGATGAGATGGAGACCCTCGAATTCGGTGGGGTTTTTGGTCTCTCACCAAAAAACACTCCAACAAAGGATGCCTCCAAGATGGTCCCAGAACAACTAAACAAACACCCCCACACACACACACACTAACTAACAAACCTATCAAACAAAGCAAACCAACCAACAAACCAAGCAGGAAAGCAAGCAAGCAAGCAAGCAAGCAAACAAACAAACAAACAAACAAACAAGCCAGAAAACAGAAACGCCAACACACACACAGACACACAAACCAAACCAAGCTAAGCCAGGCCAAGCCAAACCAAACCAACAAACACACAACCACGTAACACACACACACAAACACACACACACACACACAAACAAAACAAACAAGCAAGCAAGAAAACAAGCAAGCAAACAACTAGGCAAACAAACGCACAAACACACAAACACACAAACACACAAACAAACAAACAAACTCAGGCAACCCTCTGCCTGCAAGCTTCTTGGCAGCAGGGAGCGGGGCACGTTGCTTCCGATCACGCCAGTCTGACCGAACTGCCGAGGCTACAAGGCGGAGGCAGCAAAAGCAGGGAAGGGGCTCTCGCAATTGCAGCCGGGGAGCGTGCAAGGCCGGGCTCAGGGTGTGGTTGGCTAAGGTTGGTTGTGGCCTTTTGCTGTAGTAGCACTCATGAGTAGCGACGCGCCAATTTGGAGCTTCCAAAAAATATTCTGCCGCGATACCCAACCCAAGCGATACCCTTAACGATATCCTCGCTGCCCACAGGGCAGCGACTTGTTCATGCCTGAAGAAGAATGTTTTTTGTTCCCGCATTGACATGGTACTCATCTTTCGAGCTAGCGCTGCAAAAAGGCACTTCGCGGTCTTTCGAGCTTGCGCTGGAGAGGTGCGATATTTGATTCGGCACTTGTTTTGGGTGCTCAAAATTCGTGCTGGCTCCAATTTTGGGCCGCCACTGACCCCAGATGTGATTCCAGGTGGAGCCCAAAAGGAATTTTGAGCGCCGAAATTCGTCTGAGCACTTTTTCGCGGCTTGACATGACTACTGGCTTCAAAGTGTAGCTTTTTTCCGCAGACTTCCGCGGAACTGCGAGCCGCAAGGCCGCTTTTGGAACAAGGAGTTTTGAAAACCCAGTGTATATCTATAGATAGACTTGCTGATGCAGGTATTTCGTTCATGGCACTTGCTCAAGTACTGCCGTGTTGTCGAGAAATTATCAACTGGCACCTTTCCTGCATCACTGCATCGTTCTCCTAGGGCTCAGCTCGTCCTTTGTGGTGTGGGCTGCCAGTCAAACAACTCAGCGTCGCTAGCGCAAGTTTGCCATATCCCGTGTTTTGGTTGGTGTGTGTTTGTGCGTATTGAAACAGAGCCATTCGCTTTGGCTTGCAGCTGGACCTGGTGGTGCTTTTGCTTCTTTGGCTGGTTGACCAGCCATGCCCGTGCAGGTATGGCAGTGAACCTCCACAAACAAACAAACACAAACAAACAAACAAAACAAACACGCAGACAAACAAACAAACAAACAAACAAAACAAATAAACAAACCAACAAACAAACACAAAAACAAACAAACAAACAAAACAAACAAGCAGACAAGCAGACAAACAAACAAACAAACAAACAAACAAACAAACAAACAAACAAACAAACAAACAAACAAACAAACAAAACAAACAAAACACACACAACAAGCAAGCAAGCAAGCAAGCAAGCAAGCAAGCAAGCAAGCAAGCAAGCAAGCAAGCAAGCAAGCAAGCAAGCAAGCAAGCAAGCAAGCAAGCAAGCAAGCAAGCAAGCAAGCAAGCAAGCAAGCAAGCAAGCAAGCAAGCAAGCAAGCAAGCAAGCAAGCAAGCAAGCAAGCAAGCAAGCAAGCAAGCAAGCAAGCAAGCAAGCAAGCAAGCAAGCAAGCAAGCAAGCAAGCAAGCAAGCAAGCAAGCAAGCAAGCAATCAATCACGCGAGCGAGCGAGCGAGCGAGCAAGCAAGCAAGCAAACAAGCAAGCAATTACGCGAGCGAGCGAGCAAGCAAGCAAGCAAGCAAGCAAGTAAGCAAGCAAGCAGTCACGCGAGCGAGCGAGCGAGCAAGCAAGCAAGCAAGCAAGCAAGCAAGCAAGCAAGCAAGCAAGCAAGCAAGCAAGCAAGCAAGCAAGCAAGCAAGCAATCACGCGAGCGAGCGAGCGAGCGAGCAAGCAAGCGAGCAATTACGCGAGCGAACAAGCAAGCAAGCGAGCAATTACGCGAGCGAACAAGCAAGCAAGCAAGCAAGCAAGCAAGCAAGCAAGCAAGCAAGCAAGCAAGCAAGCAAGCAAGCAAGCAAGCAAGCAAGCAAGCAAGCAATCACGCGAGCGAGCGAGCGAGGGAGCAAGCGAGCAAGCGAGCAAGCAAGCAAGCAAGCAATTACGCGAGCGAGCGAGCAAGCAAGCAAGCAAGCAAGCAAGCAAGGAAGCAAGGAAGCAAACGGCGCAACAACCCAACAACCCAACAAGCCAACAACCCACACCATTCACCCACCCGCCCCGTCCCGCCCCGTCCCACCCTTCAACCCGCGAGGCATCGCGAGGCCGCCCAAACCCACCCTTTAACCCTGCACCCAAACCGTAATGCAAGCCCACATCAATCCTAAACCAACGAGTCTGAAACCAAGCCTAAACTAAGGACAACCTCAATTTGTCAATCCACACTAGGCATGCCTATGCCCACACTAAGTGGATGTAAGTGGCCGTATATCAAGCATAACTTGAGCTAAGCTGCAACCGTCCGACACTCAATCGGCCCTAAATATAACCTACCCACTAGAGTAAATCCAAAAATTCATGCGTAGCCATCCCCCTAACAACCCACCGACCAACAAAAACACAAGGAACCCACCCACCCATCCAACAGGCAAAAAAGTAAAACAAACACAAACCCAAACAAACCAAACCAACGCAAACCACACCAAACAAACTAGCCCGAACCAAACCAATGCAAACCAAAGCAACCCAAACCAAATGGCTGTGGGTCACAACCAATGGTACCGTGTTGGGGTAGGTGCACCACCCATCTTAGTCCATTTTAGTGGGATTGGGATGTTTACTGGGGGGTATGGGCTTTTGGCCAATGGCAAAATCATCCCAACCAAACCAACTCAACCCAAAGCAAACCAATGCAAAGCAAGCAAGGCCCAAAAAAAAACTAAAGCCAAAGCCCCAACAAAACCAACAAACCAAAAGCAACCCTAACAGACAATCACAAACCAATTAAACCAAACCAACACAAACCAAACCTAACCAAACAAAGGCAAAGATAACCAAGCCAAACGAAAGCAAATCAAAGCAGCCTAGCCAACCGAAGCAAAGCAAACAAACACAAACCAAACAGAAGCAAACAAAACACAAGCAATGAAGGCCAAGCAAAACAAAAAACTGACCTAACCAAAGGTCAGCAAATAGCAGAGAAACAAACCAAACCGCACCAGTCACAAACAAACCAAGCCAAGGCAAACCTGACCAAACCTGACCAAACCATACAATAGCAAACCTGACCAAACCACACCAAACCAAACCAAAGCAAACAAATGCAAACCGAACTTAACCTAACAAAATCAAACAAAACCAAAGCATACTAAACACAAGCAAGCCAAACCCAGCCAAGCCTGACCAAACAAAACGAAGCCAAACCAAGTCTAACCAAACAAAAGCAAACCTCATAAATCCTGATCAAACCAAACAAAGCAAACGCTGCCAAGCAAAAACATACCAAACAGAAACAAACCTAGGAAAACCAAAGCAAACCAAACAAAAACAAACCACACACTTACAATTGTCAAGCGCAAACCAAACCAAGCCAACACACCCCCAAGCGAAAGCAATTCAAAGCAGCCTAGCCAAACCGAAGCAAAGCAAACAAAACACACCTAGCCAAAGCAAATTAAACAAAACACACCTAAGCAAACCAACACAACCTAAACAACAGAAAACCTAACCACATCTAACGGAACCAAACAAACACAAACCAAGCAAAAAGCAAACCTAGTCAAACACAAACAGACCAAACGGAAAAAAACCTAGCCAAAAAACCAAATGAAAGCAATTCTAGCCATCAAGAACAGTTCTAGCCAACCAAAGCAAGCCAACCGAATGCAAATTCAAGCAACCTAGCCAAACTGAAGCAAAGCGCACAAAAGCAAACTTAGATTAACCAAAGCAAACTACAGAGGGAAAAACACCAAGTTTAACCTACCCTCACCTAACAAACGCAAACAAAAGTAATCGCCAAACCAAAGCAAACCAATCAAAAGGAACCTAACCGAACCAAAGCGAGCCAAACGAACGCAAATGAAACCAAACCAAACCAAAGCCAACCTAGCCGCGTCAAACGAAAACAAACCAAAGCAAGCCAAAGCAAAACAGGCAACACGCCCCTCCACGCACATGAGCAATGTCCTTAAGCTACGGCACGGATAGCCCAGTGCCGGCCAGTACCACTGCAGGTTCTCCCCTTCGGCGCACATCTCGGTTGTCTTGCACCGCCTGTGGCAATTACACGACTCGCTCAAAGGCTAACGCAACAGGGAAAAACAAGTTTATGCTTTTCCTCTCTTTCTTTATCTGGCGGGGGTTGACTGATTTTGACCTACCCGTTTCAACATATGTTTAACAAGCCGGGGGGGTGACAAGGCTTGGGCTAACCTCTTAGAGGGTCTTGACTCAGCAAGGAAATGACAAAGGCGCCCACTGATATTCAGGCAGCACTCATTGAATAAACTCAGTTGCCCATACGAGCCCAACTCAAGAAACGTCTCCCGGAAAACCACAGGCTCAAAGGTCAGCTTTGGGATTCTTTTTCCAAGGCCGCCTGCGGAGGTCGAAAAGGTCCCCGGAGTTGAAGTAGGGCGTCATGATCCAAGTCTCCTCACCCGTCTTCACGACGCCTCAGAACTGCTGTCTGGCTATGTCTGGCTGGGCTGGTTGGGTGTGATGTTGTTCTCCCTTAAACATGGCCCAAGATGAAACTCATCTGAAAGTGGCAACCGAGCAGCGATGCTCGGGGCTAAGGGACATACAAGGAGCTCTGGATTTCAATAAACATGTAAAGCAAAAGCTTGCTGGTGCTCAGAAGGGAATGAGGGAATGATACCAAAAGACCATCCCTTCTCGTTTCCTGTAAGGGGACCCCGGGAGGGTCATTCCCACATTCCATACTTGTCGCACCAGCAAGATACGGGGGAGGGCTCTTAAAGACTTAGCAAGACTTTTTGGGAAGGGACTTTGGAAGGGCGCGAGCGCCAAGGATCAATTTTCATCGCCCAGATCTTCTCTTGCATTTCTTCGGGCAAGAGCAGAGAGAGAGAGAGAGAGAGAGAGAGATATATATATATATATGTATACATATACATATCGATTGGTATGCGTATGTCGATTGGTATGTGTATGTCATTATCTGCAAATAGATATGCAAATTTGTGTGTGTACATACCTATATATTTATATGTCTATATATTAACATACTGTAAGATGCTACCGTGCGTGGGGCCAGTGTTGGGCCAGGCCCCGCTGAATTCAGAGGCGCCCATGGCCCTTGCCGCAGCAAATCTGGCGTTGAAAACAAAGTCGTGAGAAGTGAACAAGAACTGGGAGTAACTGGGACTGCACAAGTTGATGGTAAAAATCTCGAGAGATCGGCTGGCAATGAACCGAAAATGCCCCAATTCACCTGGCCAGCTGCAAGGAGGTGATTTCATATTCCGATCCGCGCAGGGGTGGATCCCCTGCATTGGGTGGCCTGGGTGTCTAGAAGATATTGGTCCCATCACCCATGTCTCCCCGTGCCTTGCCATGAACAGCTGGAGTGTGCAAACGCGTGCTAAGGTTGCAAACCTGAACTACCCTCCCCCCCTGAAGGTGATGATGGACCTAACAAGCCATCTTTTTTAGGGGGTCCATATTGCTTCAGTCTCCCACCCCCTTTCTCAACCCTGCATCGCCTGGTTCGCCCACCGTTGAGATGCAATACTCGGACACCCCGTGCATCGCTTTCAAAATCTCCTCCTCCTTGCTGCCTTCGTCCTCCTTCCAACTTTTAACCCAATTGTGGCTGGCAGCCCGGCTTTCCGGTGTCTTCGAATCCGAGAAGTGGGTTTGAGTCTAATCCGAAATTTAGGTGACCTGTTCAGCGGATTGTAACAGCAACAGCAACAGCAACAGCAACAGCAACAGCAACAGCAACAGCAACAGCAACAGCAACAGCAACAGCAACAACAACAGCAACAGCAACAGCAACAGCAACAGCAACAGCAACAGCAACAACAACAACAACAACAACAACAACAACAACAACAACAACAACAACAACAACAACAACAACAACAACAACAACCACAACCACAACCACAACCACAACAAGAACAAGAACAAGAACAAGAACAAGAACAAGAACAAGAACAAACAACAACAAGAACAAGAACAACAACAACAACAACAACAACAACAACAACAACAACAACAACAACAACAACAACAACAACAACAACAACAACAACAACAACAACAACAACAACAACAACAACAACAACAACAACAACAACAACAACAACAACAACAACAACAACAACAACAACAACAACAACAACAACAACAACAACAACAACAACAACAACAACAACAACAACAACAACAACAACAACAACAACAACAACAACAACAACAACAACAACAACAACAACAACAACAACAACAACAACAACAACAACAACAACAACAACAACAACAACAACAACAACAACAACAACAACAACAACAACAACAACAACAACAACAACAACAACAACAACAACAACAACAACAACAACAACAACAACAACAACAACAACAACAACAACAACAACAACAACAACAACAACAACAACAACAACAACAACAACAACAACAACAACAACAACAACAACAACAACAACAACAACAACAACAACAACAACAACAACAACAACAACAACAACAACAACAACAACAACAACAACAACAACAACAACAACAACAACAACAACAACAACAACAACAACAACAACAACAACAACAACAACAACAACAACAACAACAACAACAACAACAACAACAACAACAACAACAACAACAACAACAACAACACACAACAACAACACACAACAACAACAACAACAACAACAACAACACAACACAACAACAACAACAACAACAACAACAACAACAACAACAACAACAACAACAACAACAACAACAACAACAACAACAACAACAACAACAACAACAACAACAACAACAACAACAACAACAACAACAACAACAACAACAACAACAACAACAACAACAACAACAACAACAACAACAACAACAACAACAACAACAACAACAACAACAACAACAACAACAACAACAACAACAACAACAACAACAACAACAACAACAACAACAACAACAACAACAACAAGAAGACAAAACACAATTGCAGTTTGATGCAATCGGCCGGAACGCATTTGCAATCAAATCCGTTGAGCGGGTCCTCTGGCAAGGCCAGATTCACAACTCAGAACCTGCGGGTCATGGCCATGGTTCCCTTAGTCCTCAATAGGAACCTTTACAACGGTTGCCTAAGGATCTTAGTTATCAAGGCCAGACAAAGGATGTTTCGAGCACGGCGGGCGGATGGCCTAAGCGGGAAAATGATTATCAATTGGGCAAGCAAGCTGTTTTTCTCGAAGCGGACAAATAATATGGTTGCTTGCCGTTTTGCTTTCCTTTAATATAGTGAAATGGAGGTCCTCTATTCTGAGAACCATGTGTTTTCTTCCAGGCCCCGCGGGAGGGTCACTTTCGTTTCCGTTCCCATGGTGCGATGAGATTGTCATTCTCACGTAAGACTGAACACAGAATTGAGGTTAGAAGGACCCGAACAAGACATATGTTCCAATTTTTAGGGATCCCTCACCCACCCCTTAGGGAGAGGGACTTCCGCCAACATCGCCAACTGAAAAAAAAACAATACAAACTTCTTTAGTTTGCCACTAAACCGTCTTGCCGAAAAGTAGACCACCTCTTTGTTGACCTTGTTGGCTTGTTGGCACTAAATGGGAACCCAGGATTAACCAATCCCTGGCTGAATAGGACACACAGTCGAGAGGGAACTCAAATCACTGTTGGAAAGCACACAACAATCCGACGGATCTATTAAATAACCTGGGGTCGACGTTAACCCAGGTTAACAAGGCACCCCGAAGAAAGACAAACTCAAGACTCCTTCACCATCTTCACCGAGACGAATTCAGTCGTGGGTGCGCAGTTCACCTGCAACTCGCTGGATGCAAAAAGGGCGCCTGATGCTTCTCTTGCGCCATTGCTACCGGACTGGACAAAGCGTGGGGACTTGGCAAAAACGGGCGATCTGAAAAGGAATCCAAAGATGGGACGCCGGCCCACATCTAATCAAGCCTGAAATGCGGAACGCTTGATGTCAAATGGTTTCAACGTACCCGCAACCCCCGTCAAAGTATTCTGGGCCCTTGGCGTCATAATTGGAGCGCGTGACCCTCGTGGTCCCCAGGCTCCGGGAAGTGCTTGGGGGCCTTTAATATTCTGGCGCGGGCGTGAGGAAACAAAAAACCTGGCAGGGAACACCTCGGCTTGGGCTTTGGAAGTGAAACCGCCCCTGGGCTTGGGTAGTGAAAATTCCAAGTCCCCGCGTACTCAACCTGGATGAGTGAGGCGCGTCCCCAAAAAGTAAATATTCATATTGGATATTCTTGAAGGGGACAACCCTCCCATGCGTTCATCAACCTGCCAATGGCTACAATCATTCCAACACCCTAGATGTAAGACAAGGACCTTCATGGTGAGCTCGTCTGCTCGTCTTACCCGCACGTGAGACGTTCGATCTCGGCCTGCCTTGCACCGGAAGATCTGGCCAAAACCGCCCTCCCCAATCTTCGCCTCTATATCAAGGCGTACCTCGCAGGTGGTTCCATTTTGGTACATGCGTAAAGTGCATGTGTCAAAATACGGGGGACCCCCAAAATGGGGGTTTTCATTTTGGTTTCCCTGCAAAAAGTATCCTCAAAAACCCGCACCCACATCCTCAAACCCCCGCTGCCGGTTTAAGAAAGAGCTCAAGAGGCCCCAGCCCAAAGGGTAGGTTGCGTGAACATCCGCTCCAACTTGAGCATTGAAATTCCTCAGGAAGGGAGCGTCAGGTCCATGCCGCACACTTGCAACGGCCGCTTAAACATGCACCCCCAGGTGTCTCGCAAAACAACTTGCTGGTGCTCAGTCGAGGGTGAGGGAATGAACCAGTCCCTTAAAGGAAACCACAAGGGATGGTTTATAATGTTGGACACGCTTTACTGGCAGTAGCCTGTATTGTAGAAAGTTGTTTCTAAAGAATTGTTGGACTGTTTTGGAGTCCTCTATTGTGGCAAGTTCTTTCCCCGAAAAAAAAGAAGAAATGTCGGGAAACAATCCGGAGCAAAAACAACTAGCCAAAGAAGTCTGGCAAACAAATCCGGGCAAACAATAGGAATACTTTTTGAACTGGTTCCATAACCATCAAATTCCAGATAATGTTTTTACAAAGAAGTAATGGGCAAGCATTCGCACAAAGGGGGGGTGCCCACAACAGGCCCTGATCCTCTCTAATGTGACTGTTTTTGGGGTTCTGTTTTGCTGAAATTCTCAAATTAAAGCCTTAGCCATTTATAGTACAAGGAAATGGGTAAAAGCCTTGGATCAAGGAAATCCATTCTGCCAGTAGTCCGCAAAGCATCAAACTTAAGATAACTTCTTGAAAAAGAAGCAAGGGCAAACATTCGCACAAAGGGGGGTCCTGATCCTCTCTAATGTGACTGTTTTGGGTCCTCTTTGATGTCCAACCTTTGTGGGGGATTGCTGGAAAAACAAGCCTCGGCAATACTACTAAAGTAGAGTTGGCAATACTTACGTACGCACTGGGAATCTGAGAGTCAGCCTTGGTAATACTAAAGACAAAATTGGCAATGCTAAAGTAGAATTGGCAATACTAAAGTAGAATTGGCAATGCTAAAGCAAGTACTGCCCCAGGATCTTCCCTAAAGAGGGCCCAGAAGACTGTTTGGGGGGGTGGGGGGGGCACATTAAAGCAGGTCCAACATTAGGGATCATTCCCTCATTCCCTGCTGGGCACCAAGGTCTCGTAAAACAATCTTTCAAAAGCGACCCTGACCTCTTCGGATCGATGGGTCAAAGGAAGCTGCCGCGAGGCAGTTTGACTGCCCCAGCTACAAAACCGTCCTTGCCATAGCGTCGCACCAAGTACTGAAGAGACGTTAGTTATATATATATACATATACATAATAATAATTTGTTTAGGCTTGCGTTTGGTTGTAAACTTACTGATGTGTGAATTTATGTATGTGCTTATATGTTGCCGTGTCTTTAATTTAGTCAATTAGCTAGCCTATTTAATTCGTTATATGTTGATTTGTTTGGTATTGTTGTAGTCACGGATTTATGTATGCAATGCATTTAGGCACTCATGTATTGATTCCTGTATTTGTGTTTTGTCTTTGTGCATGCTGGTGTTGGCTTTTGTTCTACAGTTTGTCAGTGTCGATGCCGGTGTTTGGCTATGAGTCTTCTTCTTAAGTTTGCAGCCGTCCGTCATTGGTTGCTGTTGGCGTCAGCATTGTTGCTGGCGCCGGCATATGTGTCTTTCCAGTGCCCGTGTGCACCCTTTCATGGAAACAGCAGGGGCGGGGGTTTTCTCAGAGAGAGACAGCAGCCTCATTTGTTGACCCAGGCTGGGTCACATGACTCACGTGTGTGATTTTGCATGTTGATGTTGACAGAAATAAAGAAAGGCGTTGCGGCAACACGAGGCTGCATTTGCAGCTACGTGTGGAGTTTTAGCGGCGTAAACACAGAACGGGAAATAGTAGATTTGTGCATACGCAACATGAAATGTCATTGACAACTTGGCCTACCACGCCTTACGTGTAGCGGACAAGCTTGCTCCGGCAGCCAACACACTTGCAGGGGTAAGTTACATAAGCCATCTGTGTCAGCCGCCCACTGGGCCGGGGTGTCCTCAGGAAATACTTTATAATTCAAGGTTGGCCAGACGTGAAGCAGAATGAGAAAAGCTCATGTTGAGTTTTTTAGACATTGGGCCATATTGGGCCAGCCGTTTTCGAGCATGGGCAAAACCCACTTCGCACCAGTTGGGGTTTGGTTTACCATGCCACAATTCATAGGGTTTCATTCGGGTTTGGATATTTTTGGATGCCCCAAACAGGGCGGAACCCATATGCTGTTCACTAACCAGTAAGTAAGTGATTCAACCAATAACTAATATAACTATACATAGAACTAACTTTTTAATTTTGTAAATAATTGCACAAATAAACACACAAATGCGTATATAAATAAACAAGTACAAAAATAATCGCGACACACACAATTCATACAACAGACTCGTTTCTCAGTATTTTCATGGACAAAAGTCCAGAATACACAAACACAATACTGGCTTGCATTTGTTGTGTGCGTTTCCTAGAAAAATGAAACACATACAGAAACACCTAAGTAAATATATACATCACACGCATAAGTCATCAAGCCAACTAAGTGTATATATATATATATATTTGCACGATGGTGCACAAATAATACGTAGTAAATATGCGTAGGCAAGTGAATCAGAAATGAACCACTACTGCATACATCACACATCACTAACTGAACAACTATAGCAAGATACACACATCCCCCCCCCCCCCGCACACAAAAAAAGAAGAGACACTGCCGCTGGCACTGGTGGTGCTGGCATGGACACCGGCACTGACACACAGACAAGGTCCAGAGGCACACCCGCTTGCCCACTTTTCCACTGTCCCACAGGCTGTCCCCCTCAATTTCCCACCCACCTACCCACACGCACACACAACAGAGGCGGCATCCGGCCTTCCACTCTTCAGGCAGAGATGGAGTGTCGTCCCGGCCAAAGGGATGTTCCAGCATGCTGGTATTGCCCGCCGCCAGCATCCTTGGTGTTGATGGAAGGGCGATAAGATCACCTTATTTAAAGCCTCCTGGCTTCCCTTTCGAGGGGACCAGCGGGGGTTGTAACAAATCTTGCCTAACCCAGGACCCAAATCTTTTAATGGGAGTTGATTGAGACTCGGGGCGGGCCTGGGCCATTTGGTTGGCGCCCAGGCACAAAGCCCCTGAAACCCCGGCTGAAAAAATCCGCGCGCTGAGGCTGAGGGTCTTCAAGCCCTCCTCGTCCAAGCCCCGGCGCCGCTTGAAGTCGCTGTCCTCTCGATGCGGGAGGAAGTGGCAGTGTGAAGGGAAGATTCAACTGGTTCTAGAGCCCCCTGCTTTTTGAAACAAGGGAAACGTGTCATGTAACCTGCATCCGGAACATGTAAGACCTTCACCCACCCCGGAGGCGACCGCAACATGGCACTGTACGTTATGCCAGGCTGAGCGTGCTGCAATGCACCAGGGCATCTGCCAACAAATGGGTGTGTCATTCCTTAAGGGGGCCCCCAAAGTGGTGGTGTCCCTTTGGTTTCAATTTGAAACCACCAACAATATACAACTAGAACCACGGGTGGCCCGAAAAAACTCGTGGAAAGTGAGCGTTGGCTTGACGCATGTGTGTCTGCTTTCCTTTTCATGCGCAAGTGGCAGCTGCAGATTTTGATAACTCTGTTGCAAGCTCTGTGCAGATGTGCTGCGCAAGCTCGGGGCAAGTTTCTATGAGCAAGTTCTCTGCGTGCAGCGCTGACCACAACACAGCAACCTTTCGATTTGAGCTTCGCTGTCGACTCGGACCTGTGAAGGCGAGAGAGCAGGAGCGCAAACCACGAGACAAACTTTCAAGCCCGCGTTCCGAGCATTTTGTGCGATCGACCACGGCAATCCCCGCAGAGGGGCACGCACAAATCTGAAATCGTAAAAGTCCTCTGTTTTTGCACATTAACAAGCCAACCCCCACAAAGGGAATCATTTTCGCAGGGTGAATCCGGTCCCACTGCGCGTCTTCAGAGACTAACTAATTACTTTCGTGTCCACATGTCTCGTGCGAGCTAGTTCCCTCGTGCAAGTTTGGCTGTGCGATTTCTCGTGCAAGTTGGCTCGTGCATGTTTGGCTGTGCGATAAAGCTGGCGATTCTATCGGAAGAACCCTTTGCAATGCTTTTGGGAAAAACCAGCCAGCTGCACAAAAGACATCCCAAATCCAGTTTCACCTGAGGTGGTTCGGCTTGCAACAAAGGTCACTTGTGATCTGCGGCTTCCATCGAAACGATTGCCCGGCATGTGGGTTTGTCCTTTTGTTGGGGGTACCCCTTTCTTGTGGGTTTGAATCAAAGGACAACCAGAAAAGCCTCTATGATCCTCTTTTCTTTGGGGGGGAGGGGTCCCCCCCCAAAAAAAAGCACACACACACACAGATTGAGGGACCCCGGCATGTGGAGATCGTGTTTCACGGCTGCACGTTTTGTTCAAGGCATCTTGTGGACCTTTGTGCGGGGCCAAAGGGTGCATTCAAACCAGGGGAGAGCACAATATGCTCGAGGGAGTTGGATGGACCTGCTCCTTCTGGGTCATTCAAAAAGATTCCCGGATCCGTGGAATTTGAAGGGAAGCTACTGTCATGTGGCGAAAGCATTAAGGATGATTCAGATGAAAGCGACGAACCTTGCAGGATTGCCATTTCTTGAAGCTATCAGCCTAAGCTTGGTTCTTTGAATGGGAGGCGCTGGGTGTTTGAAGAGGACTAAAGAAACGGAGGACGCACCATGGGGATATGACGGCCCCAATCGCATTGGAAGAATCTTGCGGATGCAAACAGCCCCGTCAACCCAGGGATTCGGTCTTTTTAGCCAATACCGGGTTGCCCCTCTCGGCTGAGCAAAAAGTCGATGCCCTTTGGTGGGCGCAACGGGAAAACATTTGTTTCCAAAAAATGCCACATTGTCTAAAAGGCAATTCGGCCTGGCAAAGGATTAGTCATGTGAAAACGAAAGCTACCCGCCCTGTCAAAATGGGATCAGAGATGCTCGCTTTGTCGGGTTCGTGAACCATTGATCTGTCATGGAGACTCCAGGCATTGAGACCGGAACCCATTGTTTGGACCCGCTGAGGGTCGCCCGAAAAATGCCGATCAACATTTCAGGCCGTCCTCCTCGATCTGGATGCGCGCGGCATATGCCGCCGCCGCAAGTAGAAGGGCACGCATCGTGGCTAATGGATGAGCCCGCGCGTTCGCACTGTGACCTCCAGGCTGCGCCTTTCACGTGCGTGCCCGGAAGTCACCTGTGCAATTGAATTTTCCAGGCAACTTGAGCTGGTCGCAATCGGTGCAGCGCTGCTCCTTGGAACTGCGCCCCAAGTGAAGAGTCTGAGCCGTCTTAAAATTACGCCTGGTGCTGGGAAGATGCTTTGAGCCACTTGTTAGATATTCATGCTGAGGGTGTCTTATTACTCAAATGGACCAAACCGAAGGCTACTTTCCGAGACAAAGAGCTCAACACATCAGGTAGCCTTTTCAAAATAGACCCCGCCCTCTTGAACAGGGGGGTTTGTCTTCATCTGACCTCTTGCCCAAATGAGCCATGCTGCAGGTTTAAAAGGTTCACCTTTTGGGACCATTGACAAACACTGGGGAACCAAAAGGTCAAAAGGTCGGCTTTTGGGCAAGTGAGTGACGTACACGTTTTTCAATCACGCAAGTGGACAGGGTCCTTTCCAAAACGAAAAGCGGTCTCCCAACACCTTCCTGTCAGCTTTCATCTTTCGTGATTTGCGGGAAGATGGCTAACAGTAACTTCCGCAAAAACTCAAATCCATCCAGAGGGCCTGACTTGCAATCGTCCTGGAAGTACAAATTCAAACAGATGGCATTAGACAACAGAAAGATGAGTTCTCAGCACTCAGGCCTGGGCGCTGCCAAAAAATTCAGACGAGGGCTCCGATTGATGCACGGCCTCAAACTCAGGGGTTCCCCACCATGCGTGTATGTGCATGTCTCCTTTAGAAAGGACATGTTGGCCGATTTTGGCCTCGGCTTTCCTCTTGGCTTGCCTCTAACCCTTCCTGAACATCGAGTTCCCAAAAGACGTGCCCAAACCGGCGAAAACTCTGGTGGCCTGAGTTTCCTGGTGGCCTGTGGGGAAGCCACCTTGGGATCGGAAAATGCTGTCTTTTTTTTGAGGGACCCGGTTTTGGGTTGGGCCAAGGGAAATCCAAAGGACGACTATCATGTGTTTTCTTGTTTGTTTGTTTTTCTTGGGGTGGGGCGCATTTCGGGGTCACCTCAAACAAGAAACGCATTTCCCCTGGTCCAAACAAGCGCGGCGCAGCCAGCAATGAGGGAGATGCAATGGCACAGGGCTAAATACGGTTTTACAGAACTGCATGGTGTAGCACGAAGTTTAATTGGGACCCCCTGAAAGCATGTTGGTGGACATAAATCGCCACCTAAATGATGTCCACCAAAGGGTCCCTAATAAAATTCACACCTGTATGTTCAATTACTACTGCAGATGCACTCACCTGCGTACAGAATCTGGATGAACGAGAGATAAACAGCTTGGGGCTCTGACTAAGCTGGGGCAAAAGGTGGACAAGCAAAAGGAAAAACACGGGCGACTAAATCTCTCCATGCCCTCTGCCTTTTGCCTAAAACGAGGGAAGAGACACACTGGTCCGGACCAGTCTTTATACAGTTTCATCCATCCCCACTGGTTGTCCCTCCATGGCATGTATTTAAGCAGTGTCCTTCCATCATGGTGAGGCACATTTGCCTATGCACCTAGGTAGCGCCAATACTGGATGGCTGATGAGGAAGCACGATTCGGCCATGTGATGGTTCCCGAAAAAGCGAACATGTATCTGGAGACCCTGCTGGGCGCAATTCAATGGGCTCAGCCCAAAAGGCTTGAACCCAAGGCCAAGCTCCGGTCATGCCTCTCAGAAGCTCCCAAGGGTGTTTCCCAGGTTTGTCTTTGAAACAGCCCAATACCCTCAAAATTAGACCCAAGAGAGAAGTGCACCCGCCCCCGTGGCCGCCGACCCGCATATGCATGTGAGAAGCACATGCCGTTTTCGGGAAACGTTGCTTCTATTGCGATCCAGGCGATGGACCCCTCGAATCCATCCCGAACCCGCTTCAATCAAATGTCTAGCTCAAAAATCCAGCAGCTGGTGATACAGATCACTACTTGCAGATGGACATCCGGAAGTGCTCCTTTACCTTCTCCTTGTTGCGGATCACCCGGCACTTGCAGCATTGGTTGCAGCCGATGCACAGCCCGCAGCGCAGCATACCGATGGCCTGATGCAAATGCCGAGTTCGACCCGCTCTGCCCAAAGACGGGTCTTGCGTGTCACCTGAACATTGTCCCCGCGAAAATGCACTTTTTTGGCTTTTGGTCCGGTGGAAAGGGTAAAAACCGTCCAAATGGCCGAGCTGTAAAATCCGTCAAAATGGCCGAGCTGTGCCTTTTAAAGGGCCATGACAAGTGTCTTTTCGGCACAGCCTTGGCTCGCCACGAGGGGATCAATCACTACACCCAACGGCGAACTTATGGTTGCTTATGGTTGCGGTTATGTCTGTCGTTGCTGTTATCGAGGTGTTGTGCTTTCGGCGTAGGTCAAAATTAAGATTAAGCTGCCAGGGACAGCGGGTAGTACATGTCCATTTATCAGTTTTCAAATTTAGGGCCTTTTACATTTATCTTGACCCAGCCATTCCTGAGGCAATGGTGCTTATGTTTCTTCTTGTTTCGTCTAGATGTGTCCTTGAAAAAGAAGGGGTGCCCTTCCACCCTCGGTCTCTCGGGCCTTGGATGGTTTATCAACGCAGTACTCTCGGGCGAAGGGCTTGTCTTCGAGGTCCAAGCCCCCGAAATCTCTGGCATCAAAGAGGCCTCGCCGCGTGTTTACTCCAGAAATCCGAGCATGGTAAGAAATCACTTGCTATCCACTGATGGCAACCGCCCCCGGGAAATTACTAGGGTTCCTTTTTTGTGGTTGGAACCCTTTCCAGGAGAACTGGGACCCCTGATTCACTCGATGGGTTTAATCAGGCGTCAACATTAATCCTGCGAAGGGCATCAGCGAAGCCATATGGCTAACGCGCTGCAGGCTAGCCCACTTAAACCACACCTGTCTTGAGGAGACCCGCCGGAGGCAACCGTGCCAATTTATAGAGGCACCCTAATCGCCAGAGACGCACCCCAAGACAACCACACAACTACCAGCCCCAACAAACCAAGACACAACAAAACCAGACACAACAAAAACAGACACCAGGCCGCAAAAAGCCAACATCATCCTTCGCAAGTTGTAACCCCACAGGCAAAGCGGCAGCTTGGCATGGGAGTTTCTGCTCCCAGTTGGGCCGGCGACTTCCGCAACATGTCCTGGCCGGTGAGATGTCTTCGGGTCAACGGCGCTGCGCGACCATTTGCATGGAGCAGTGGAAACATGATTCAAGGAAGTGGAAGGTGAACTGCAGAACGCCAAGACGCTAGCTGAAAGGGAAGTTGGACAAATCCCTTGGTTGTTGGCAAGATTTTGGGCATTCTTGACAAGTTGCCCGCCTTCCTTTTCATGTGCCCAGCACCCGGAAAAGACATCCTGTGCGGGTTGCTTTTGGTTCGGGCAAGAAATGAGCAACTGCAAACGATATTGGTTCTCTCAAGTTTGTCACTTCGTTTTTGCTTTTCCTCCAAAACTCACTTGCCAACACTTGACCCCAGGCCAGTCAACAACAAGTGGCCTTTCTGCTCAGTAAGATCCAAATCTTTATCCACCATCGTAGAAACGTACAGGAAATTCTTTGGGACAGTGGCATGCCTTGAGCAAAGCCCTTGTGGATGGGCAAACGCCAACTTGGGCCACTCACATGATTCAAGCGCCCAACCGCCCCCCCCCCCAAACAGCTTCATCTCAACCAACCGGGTCCAACCAATCCAAAAAGTGCGACCCCGATGGCAACAGAAACAACCATTCTCCGAAGACCTTGCATGAGTCAACCAAACCGAACCAATCAACAAACTCATCGGTCAACCAATCAATCCAGCCCATTCCATCAGATCAATCCACCCACCCCATCGACCCCATCAACTTTGCCCGGCCCACTCTCCCACTCCATGCAATCAATCAATCAATCAATCAATCAATCAAACAAACAAACAACAAATGAAGAAACAACATAAATGGCTGTGGGTCAAAAATTGGTACCCGAAATGGAACCCTGGTAAATGAAACCAAGGACTAAACCCTGCGGTGCCCTTGTGGTTTAATTTTGACCCACACCCAAATGAATAAATCATTAAATGAATGAACAAGCAACAACAAATCAATCAATGAATCACTGAACCAATCAA